ACCGGACGTTCTCGAAAGAAGTCGCGCCAGGCCGTTCCTGACACCAACGTTGTTGCCCAACAATACAGCCAGCTCAATGTACTTCGTACTTGTCATCAATGATCGCGTTTTGCGAGTAGATCGGGGGTCTGCACTAGCCACTGAGGACACTAGCGTTCTTGTACAGGAGTACCGGGCGGCTGAGAAAAAGTCCAGTCAGTTATGGGGAGCAGGAGTCAGCGGAGCGGTAGCGTACTCTCGCCTGCATGTAAACTACAAGTCCCAAATAGCACTGCTGCGAGTGGCAACAGAGACAGCCAGCGCTGACACTGAACATTACGAGGTAAACTCCAAGCCTGGATACCGCTGTAGAAGCAGGTTTACTTCGTACACACAGAGTGGATGTTGCTGCGGACACTGACATAGGGCAGGCAGGGAGACGAGACGAGACCACGCACATGTGGCACCTTTGATGCTTCGTACTACTACTAGCGCGGACACCTTAGGGCCTCGGGATGAGGTTTGTGGAAATGAGGACCGACCAAATTACTCCGGAGACGGACGGATACCCTAAAACCGCGGCAGGGCAAGGGAAATACGACTGCACGGGATTGATCTTCCCCCTCGTTGCAAAGACTCGAAGAATGTGACGGTCCGGACCCACTAACGCTGGAGCAGTTGGATTGATGATGGATCACTTGATGCAAAGAAACAGTGTGCTTGGTATCGATGGAGTGTACTGTAGTCTATTACACTAGTCCCCGTCTGCGCGTCTTCAACTGGCAGCTAGTGCCTCCAGGCTGATGAACTTGCGCAGTATCCCATACAGGCAAAAACCCACGCTATTTAGTCATTGATTGGCAATTGAGTGGGTTTTGTGGCGAGGGAGCCCTGGTGGGCGAAACGGACGCGAATCGATCACAACAGCCGAAGAAGCAATCAACTGATAGCCTCAATGTTTGCCAGCAGTCACTTCAGGGGCCTAAGAGTCAGAACGACAGTGAGGCAACACGTCCAACGTCAGGAATCCTTAGACTTGTGGTGGTTGTTCAATGAATGGAGAAGGTTGAGCCATGGGTTTCCTAGGGCTGATGTTCCCCATCGGTATCACCATCGGTATCAGCATGCAACCCTGGACGAAGGAAAATGCGGTGAGTAATCTCTGAATGCATGCATTGAGATGTATAAAAGCAACAACCCATAGCACGGAACATTATGCATCAATGATGCAGCTCCTCACGCACACCGCCGGCCAAAATGCCGAAAACGTTGGACCGCAATGGATCTGAGCCTCTCACCCCAGTGGCTCCCACTCACTCTCCCTCTTTGCGCAACTTGGTGGAGCAAAGATTACTGTGTGGACGCGAGGCCCCAAGCCATCTCTCTCATCAGTCAATCCATTAAGGCACCGCTCAATCTCACAGTGGAGATCAATTAATGAGGATGGAAGCTCCATCTACTTCGTACACAGAGTAGTGTAGGACAAAGTCAGTCATCTTCGAAGCTTAGTAGATCTTGAGCTAAACAAATGCACGAAAGGCACCACGACATGAAACCCCTCGCGCATAGCTTTCGACGTATCTCATGCATCAAGTTGTTGCCACCCAATATAGCCCCGCGTCATGAATTTTGAGGATTCGTTGGTGATCAATTGATGTGGGTGATGGGGCTAGTGGCCTCGCCTCGATGGACCCTCACGATCCAGACCCGCCGCTGTTCTCTGTGATAATCTTAGCGTGCTTTGCGCTGAGGGGTTCAAGGACCAAAAGTCCACGTCAATTTGATGATGGAGGAGACGATGGTCCTCCTGATGCGTTTGGCTAGCATATGATCATTGTTGTCTGTTCCGCCCCACTGGTGACTGCTTGGTAGTCGCCAGGCCGGTCCTCTAAACCCTGTCTCAACTTTCTCTTCCACGGAAACCAGCCCCCAGATGCGATGGCAGTCATTATTACAAGTTGATGTCCCGCTAATAGCCATGACTTAGGTAACCGTGCAGCTTCATTTAAATGCAGAGGGAAACTAAGAACCGTCCGGCAGCCCTCGACCTGCACTCGGTCGATCTTGCATGGAAATCAATCTTACACACCGGAGTGGAATCTTGGCGATAAGAGGTAAAGACGACCGAAGCTTACTTCAGGCAACTAAAAATAAGCAGGACCTGGTTGCACTTGCAACTCCCCAAACCTCAGACTACAAACGCCAATCCTCCTGATAATGCACCGATGTACCATTTCATCCGAACAAGAAGCTTCGACCAAGTCGGTGTTGCCATTTTCCCACGAAGTCGGCAGCTTGCCCATCTTGAGGTCATCTCCCGCAAGGCTAAGATGCCAATGCTGAGACACTTGCGGCCATCCCTTGTCCCGGGAAGCACATGGCTACCAACTCCAGGTTGGGCGGATTAACGTCGATCAGTCGTGATGGTGTTGACTTGCCGACAGCCCCCAAAATTAAGGGATTTTTTTAAGGATACGATGGGAGCAAGACGGGCAACTTCAACTTCAAGCCTTGTTCGAATCCCCGGTAAACCTGTTGTTCCTCTCCCTTCAATGTTATCATTCCTTTTCAACACTCCGGTTTCGAACCCCTGCCATCCTTGGTTCCATGTAGTGTGTTACTTCGCCAAGAAATCTCGGGGTGGGAATGCTGCCAACCCATGTCTCCGGACACTGTCAATGACGTTGTATTGTATCAACAGTCTCGGAGCAACGTTGGGCTTAAATGCGCAATACACGGTCTCACCTCGGAGCCTTTCCGCCTTGCAAAGTCTTCTTCTCTTCATCTCACGGTTCGCCGGTTGGGTGCTCTTAGACCCAGGTTTTGCATACATTACAAACCCACGTCATCAGATCAGAGTTCGATCCTTCCCGCACCTAATAGCACCGAGAGAAGAACCTCGAAAAACCAGCAGCCTTCCTTTTTCGTCTATAAGGCCGCCTTGGTGGAGCTTAACAACAGCTAGTAAAGAATCGTAGTACCGCGGAGAATGCGCGAGGAAGTAAATGATTAGCAAGGAGATCCATTGTGCTCTTTAACGAGGCGACCTTGGATATTATCCACTCTCGTTTATAGGCTACTCATAACTCAGGCTTCCGCCTCTTCCTCGTATCACGGCCCTTCATGTTAGGACGCCAATCCTTAGGTTTTCCGATCCTTTTATGGGATGAAACTTGTCAGAAACCCAGCAACTACGAAGCTAAACGACTCCTCCAAGATGAAACCACCCGTGCCACTGAGCAACACACAGTTACGTTTACTATTATCAACGTCGACTTTCGCTTGATCTTGAGCCTGATTCTTCTGGCCATGGAGCGTTGGTTTCTTGCACCGCCCTATCGGGACGTGTTTCCGGATCCCAAGGGCGGGGCTCATTGTGAGTTGCGGGTTACACGCTGTAAGTTGGGGGCTGGAGGAAAGGGCCGGATTTTGCCAATTTATATACGAAGTGATATTACAATATAGACGACGCTACCGTTCGCCTGGGTAGCCGGGAGAATGGAGTAGCGACCGACCCCGATCTTCTTTTCTTCACTTCTTTTATAGAGTGGCCGCTACGAAGCAACTTCGAGGCTGCTGGGCAGTATCATCCACATCCAACTCTTCGCTTCGGAGTCTTTCCGCGTATGTTGTTCCCTCTCTCTCCTCGACACTAACCGAGACAAGCTTATTAACCCCATGTTCCTTCCACTCAGACATATCCCAAGAGACATTCATTTACGACGTAGAAACAGGAGTATTAGGTAGGGATCCAGGGGGATGCAATGTGACCCGTCATATCACACCTTGGAAAACTACTGGCCCTTTCACTAGCCCACTCACCCCGAGTGTCATCTATCCACTCCACTCCCGGCTGGTAAAGTGGTCGAAACCTCGAAACACGCAGGATACGTGTTCCCGAACAGAGAGCGTAGTACGCTACGTAGAGGCCGTGTTCCTCCCGATAGCAATTCTACCGATTTTCCGCTGCACGCCGGAAACGGTCCGATGAGATAGAGGGCTCTCTCCCTTCCGCCTGCCACTAGCCGTGGAGATTCAATCTAATCAACACTCATACGAAGTCCAGATTCGGTCTCGGTAGAGCAGTGATCCGCACGAAGGAATGCACTTGTCCTTGTTAGCTTCCTTGGCCTCATTACGAGTCATCTCGCTCTTTCGTCTTAGATATGATATACCCATGTCGTCTAGCCGTTGGCTGTGCAGCAGCAAGGTTGTTGGATGCAGATTTACACTACAGGACGCTACTGTATGTGCGAAGACGCCACACATTAAAGGCTTTGTCCATGTGAGTTGACTCGCTTCGCTCGGCACGCAAAAACTGTAAAACTAAGCCGACGCAAAACCCCCCTTGTCCGCAGCAAAGAGGGAATACCACACCAACGCAGCGCCGCCAATCAATATGGACTCCGATATGCCAATCCCCCGCGTGCCCTGTCGGTCCTCTCCTCACTCGACGCTTCGGGGAGTTGGCGTGCAGGGACAAGCAAACTTCCTGCTTGCTTGGGCTCCATCTCAAGCTTGGGGGAGGGGCAGGGGCAGCTGGGGAAAGAGAGTGGGGTGAAGGGAGAGTTCCTGATGCCCATTATTCATTGATGAAAAGAGAGGGTGACTTCCGCGCGGGATGACGTTTTCTGTCCCCAACGTTGCAAGATGCCGCCCGCAGCTTCGGGTCGACCAAAGAGGTTTCGCTGCGGGAGCTTTTCCTCTTTTCGGTAAATACATCTGCTTCTCGTTTGCCTTGGGCATTAACCGACCTTCAATCTGGTCCGGAAATCGCCCGGGAATAGCCCGGAAATCGAGAGCAATAGGCGACGAGGTAAGAGTGTACACCCCTTCAGACGTCGCTTTTATTGTGCAATGAAAACCCGGCCTGGACTCGAGGCCGCTTGGCACGCGAGAGGGTTGCACTGCGAAGTAGTGCGGTGTAAGTGCCATTAGTGCACCCCACTCAAGGTGGGCTCGCCCAACAAGCTCCCTTGACCACGGCCTTGGGACTAGTGGGTGAGCTTGAGCTGTTTATGCTAGTGCATAGTGTCCACTACACACGAAGCAGTTTTGGGAAGAAACCCCATGACTTGTTTAACTCCGGTGCCTGATGTGGTTTCCTGGAGAGGAGTTGGGCTGAACTCGACGGCCTGTTGAGGGGATAGCCTGTTGCGGCTATTTTTTTGCGAGACAAGGCGTTGCTTCGGACCAGAAGCTGCCTTAAACGGCGCTGCATTGCCTGTTCCTTCGCGGATAAGAGCTTGGGTAGAGCATTGCTTATCAGGGCCCGGCGTTATGGCGGCGTGGCCGGAGTTGCGGGCTTGATCGCCTGTCGGGTCTCATATCATTGCTTTTTCTACAGCACGGCACAGGCTGTGGATTCACAATTTCAATCGTATGATAGTGGGGAAGAAGTACACGGCTGGCTCAGGTCGGGCAAGGAGGCTCTCATGAACAACATTCTTGGGTCTTGTTTGTTTGTTTGGTTGTGTTTGTCTTGAACACACTTCCTTAGATACCCCTTACATGTAAGGATGTGTTGGCTGAGTTGACTTTTTTTTTTTTTTTTTTTTTTTTTTTTTTTTCTGTTTGGAGAATTTGACGATTCTCCTTTGCAAATTAGGTCTATAGTACACTTTTTTTTCTTGGTGGAATCTCGCTCTCGTTGCGAGCCAGTGAACTTGGCTAACCCCAACCCCTAGCTCCCTCGAGAAGGCATGGCGGCTTTATCGAGTCAGATTGCAGCACATCAAACCTTCGCAAAGCTTCGTGCAAATAAGCTGGCACTCCTTTATCGAAGATGCCCTCTGTACCACCTTGCTCTTTCCCTCTTTGTCCTCAATGCTAACCCTCGTCTCTACGGCCGATGAAATGGCTCCATCTTGCGTGTCTAGGGATTGATCAGGAACCACGGGCGGCGTGGGTTGGCTTGCGCTCGAGAGCTCGGGTTGCAGAGTAGCAGAGTGAATGCCGTAAGCATGGAGACACTCGTTGATGTGCCTGGCGGTCATGATAAAGCTAGGGACGCTTTCATCAGAGACAACGACGTGGACTGAGGCGATGGCCTTGCGCTCATTGAGGCGCCACACATGGAGTTCGTGGATGGATTCGATGCCGGGAATCTACCAGACAAGAGGTTAGTTTTATCTATGAAAGGTATTTTTTAGTTCGACGATGCTATTCTCATACCTTCTCGAGATCATGTCGGATATCATCCATGTTGACGCCCAAGGGAGCAGTTTGGAGTAGGATGGAACCGGAGTTTTTGACCAGAGGGAATGCCGATGCGAAGATCATAATGGCGATGAACAAGCTCACTGCGGGGTCGGCGTAGAATCGGGCCTCGTCCTTGGACTTCCAGATGACCAGAGCGGCAATCATGACGCCGATATTGTTGATGGCATCACCGATGACGTGGAGGACGACGCCGAGCATACCGAGATCGTAGCCGGGTCCTTTGAGGTCAACGGTGGCGTGACGGTGCTCGGTATGGCGTTCGACTGATTGTTCGTCCTAGAGAGTTGGGATTAGAAGATGTTTCAAGAGCCTATCCAGGAGAGTACGGAATGACTTACGGAATCATCGCTGCCATGATGATGGTCGTGGGGTGCGACACCCGTACCTTCCGGTAGGCGTTCATCGTCATGAGCGTGGGTATGGTCGTGGCTATGACTGTGGCTGTGGCCATGACCGTGGCCATGATCATGGTCTACAATTCTCATTGTTAGAAAATGATGCCACCGCCGAGGCCAGGTTCTTAATCCGCACTTACCATGAAGGAACAGCAGGGAAATAATGTTCAGGAACAGTCCAACGCTGCCCAAGATCAAGACGGTCATCGGGTCCTCGACCTCTATTCCCAACGCAGTTAGCCTTCTAGTTATCATTTCCGGGGGTCATACGGAAGCCACTCACCCTTCAGATCAACGAAACGCTCAATAGACTGGAGAAAGATGCTGATACCAAGGGCCAAAAGGAAGACACCGTTGAAGAAACCACCAAGGAGCTGACCACGTTGCCATCCGAAAGAAAACGCCTTTGGTGTTGTGCTGCGTTCCGAGATCTACATGGTTTCAATATATTTGTTAGAAAGATACTCACCCAAGGGAGAGGTGTTGTATATGTTGGAGCACTTACCATGATAGCACCCAACGCGACGGCAAATCCAACGAGGTCGTTCAGCTGGAAGTGCATTAGTTTTCCAACAACGCAACTCGATTTTGGGTTGTGCACTCACATAATGAAAGGCATCGGCGATGAGTGCCAGTGAGCCGGTCCTGATGCCAACTGCAGAGAAACTTTAGTACGATTCGCTCTATTCGGGGGTGGGGTGGGATGGGAGAGGCAGACTTACATATCAGCTCCAGGAGGAAGAAGCTGAACGATATGCCGATGGTAACACTCAGCCTATGCTTCTTCGTGAGGGTGGGGAAGTGGAAGCCCATTTTGGGAGCGTTCTCCGATGGCTCTCTGATTGTGGAGGAGGGTAGATTGCGATTAAGCGGAAGTGGACAAAGAATGGGAGCCCTGGATAACTATCGAGGAACGATAGAAGCAGTGGGCGACGAGCAAGGTCGAACTAGGGTTCGATAAAAGGAATTATATAACCGACAGAACTCAAGAGCCGACCGTCTTTTACAGAGATCGGCGATGGTCCGTGGTTGGTAAGCTCGCTGGAATGAAGGCAAGGAGAAATAGGGCGTCTTGCAGGCTGCTCTCACGCTTGTCCACGTACGTCGGGCAGTGTCGAGATGAAAGAGGAAATAGAGCGGCAGAAGGGATGCTGTGTACCTTCCTGATCTGCTTCAGGCGGATGATGAGGTTGGGCAACTCTGAAGAGAAGAGTAACGACTAACAAGCCTGGGTGTTAGACAAGGGCGGGAAGAGAACACCCGTTCGGGGTTGTATTCCTAAGTTTGCTGTCAATGTTGGTATCCGTCTGGTTAGGAAACGTCTGTGAGACTCCGGGAAAGAGCTAGGGGGTTATTCAAAGATCGAAGGGCATAGTCGGTGAGGTGAGATGTGGTCTGGTCAGGCTGCTGGACTAGGGTTGACTGCTCGTGTCAAAGGCGGATATTCCTTGCTCCAGTGGGGCGGGCTCGTCAATGACCAGAATGTGGATGTCGGCTTTGACTACTTAGAAAGAGTGTTGGGCCGTCCAATCTCGAAGCAGATGCGTGGGCAGCAGCAGGTTTTCCCGCGAAACGACAAAAGAAAGGATGGAATTTCAATGAAGCGTCTATTTTTACGATAACGAGAGGAGTTTACAGAGTCGAGATTACAAGATTTACGAGGAGGGGGCCGGCCCCGAAAGCTGGGAAGAAATACTTAAAACAATGCGGGATTCGGAGGCGCATCGAATTCTGTGAATCCGCTCAGAAAGCGAGGGAAAGTTGACGATCTGCCGGTCCTGCACTCCTGGCGCACAGATAAATGGGCCGCTTCGAATTATTCCGGTGCTGGTGACGCTGTGTAAGCCCGGCAGCCGGCATTCGCACTTGCCAATCCCGGCCAGCTTCTTGCCCGATCTCGGGATGGACTCATGCAGGCGAGCGGTCGGGTGTTTCTCTATGAGGGCTCTTTTGTCAGTGCAAATCTCTGAGAATGTCCTAGGAGATGAGTCTGACTGCTCTGAGACCAGTAATATCGTGGTGGATGGTTGCTATCATCTCCGTGGAGGGGCGGAGTCGAGAAGGCTGACAACTCCGACCGGATTTTGTGTTAACGGGGATTTGAGGAAGATGAAAGGCTTAGTCATCCATCCAGGGACCTGCCCCGAACGGGTTGTCTTGGCATCTCCAGATACGGAAAGCGGTGGTGGGTTGGGGGATATTCTGCCGCCCCAGATCACCTTGTCGTCCGCACGTCAAGGAACTTCGTGAGCTTAACAATAATGCAGCCTGCATATCAGTACCTATCCAGTGCTGTTGATTAACTTGTCCAAAATTCCCAATGATATGAATACCAACCCAGGATCCATTCACGGCCGCGATACAATTCCCCAGTGATTCAACTGCCTCGATCGGCCAAACTATCGAAGCCGGGATGGTGTTATTAGTCGCTCAGAACTCGAGCCCCCCTCCACAGCGAAGTGCGACCCTCGATTCAGATCCCTATGTCACGCAATGCGCCCCCGACCCCGTCCGGTCGGAGAAGCGGACGCACTCCCCATATCCGGCAGTTTAGCAGAGCAAGCGTGGATCGTGGCTCGACTGACGCGCCTAGATCGCCAGATACTGCCTCGACCCAGTCTACAGCTCGTACCGAGTCCGCTGCCTGTCGCAAGCGAAAGCTCGAACGAAAGTGTACCGTTACCGTGAACGATAGTTACTCGCGCGACGAAGTACTGTTGAACTTGGATCATCTTGGCAGCGACATCAAGCCTGGCACTCTTGTGTCGATATCTGTGCTAAAACCCGAACCGGATAAAACGTCCAATCCCCAAGGCAAGCAAGTGTCCACGGACCATGGACGGGCCAGCAAGTCGTCGCCCGCTCGGGAGGCGGAATGCGACCCCTCCAAGCACCGATATGTATTTTATGCAAAGGACATGTCTAAGGAGCAAAAGACGAGGCATCCTCATATCGAGGTATACGTGGCTAAGCACATCGCCGGCAACTTTGGGATGAAGAGCGGAACTCCCGTTATCCTGGCTCCGGTAAGTCATTATTTTGTATCAGATCTCGCACAATGGGACTGTGTCGCGTTAACTGTTGAAATAGGTCGACGAGAATAACCCAGCAGTCGAGGCATCCCATGTGGAGCTGAGCTTTCGCGATCAATATCTCTCGAGAGCGGACATGTGGCGAATGACTGTTGGGGAGCTCACTGAGCGGACCGTTTATAAAGGAGAATCGATCCTGTTTATGGGAAGCATCAAAGCCCAGGTAACAGCGGTCTTCGTTGACGGTCACAAGGTCCATTCTGCTTTCTTTTCGCGCAACACCCGACCTATCTTCCGGAGCGAGTCGGCTCGATATGTTCTCTTCATCCAGATGTCTCGTGAAATGTGGGATTTTGACTCCGATGGATCCGGCGAGATCATGTTCAACAAGGTCGTCAATGGCTTCCTTCCGGCCGTATTTAAGAAATGGGCCCTTCTCAAAGTCAGACACCTGGTTACCATTGTGCTTTTCGCTCGCGTCGAATACGACACCGGACTCAGTGATGACCTGGTCGTGTCCGCTACTGACGGTGACTATTATACTGGCGTCCAGCCGTCCGGGATGAAGAGACCTTACAAGGACTTTTACCGCGTGGTAGTCAACGAGATGACGAGTATCGAATGGGCCACCATCCTCAAGCAGCTCAAGAAGGAATTTAACGTCTTTCGTCGTGATATAAGTCTACACCACCAGCGACCCGATAGCGCATTCGTGTCTCACACCAAAGACTCGAGCGGCAAAATCATCCCGCCGAGCCACGTCAAGTCCGAGCCGTGTTTGGCAATGTATGGAAACTTTCTTGAGGCGATTAGCCTTGCCTCGTCGCAGTTCGCGAACGATTACATCGACCGGGACCTCGTTAGGACAGGAATCTCTATTGTGGTTATCAGTCCCGGTCCTGGTGTTTTTGAAGTTGACTATGAAGCCTTACGGAGAACTACCGAATCCCTTGTTGGGAACGGCATCGGTATCGACTTGATCTGCGTCCCCAAAATTCCTCTCCATTCGGTGCCACTCTTTAAATACCGCAACCCGCACTATGCGGAAATGGAGAAGGAAAGATGGCCTCATAGTCGAAGTAGTACGCCGAGACAAGGGGGAACACCTATTGCTGGAAGCTATCAATCATTTGGCGGATCATTCTCTCCTTCGAAGGGCTTAGACTTGATCCACCGCTCCGATTATTTTACCACGCACCGCCAAGCTGATGAGTGGTGCTACGCTGTTCCCCAGTGGCTTCATGTGTCTTATTGGACAGGCACGTCTGGCGCATCTGGCGACAGCTTGTCCTACCAAGGCATCGCGCTATCTGTCCTAGATGCTGGTCGCGAAGAAAAGAACAACGAAGACTTCCCTATTCGATGCAGAATGTACGATTTACAGATGCGCAGCGTGCTGGAGACGAATGAGATCGAGACGGTACCCTTAATGTCCGACCCCTTTTTCCCTTCCAATGGAGTCACGGAAGGAGGCGGCACGCAGCGGCCCCGCCAGACTGGGACGGATGAGGTGGCACATATTCCCCTTCAACGCGCTCCTGACACTTTGTTTGATCATGTATACGGGTTCATCAAGTTTGTTCCGGACCGTATGCTCAAACCTGGCGAGAGGTCGATCTGGAAACAGCTCCAAGAGTTTGATAATTCCCGCGCCAAACTCCCATCGTCGCGGCGTGTTATCCACCATCACAGGAACAGTCGCGAGTTAGATGATAGTGCCCGCCGTCAGCTGGTGGAAGACTCGGGCCTTTTCGGCACGTCCCTGCCGGAGAGGAAACCCGCCACATCGAAGTCGAAAGCAGCTAGTCGGAAGTTGTCTGTCAACCTGGGCGAGAAATCCAAGGTCACTACCTCTCTCCTCAGTCCGGCGAAGAGTACGAGTGGTGTTAGCAGCACAACCCCAGTAGTTGCTCCTGCACAACCTCCAACTTCGCCGACGAAATCACAGAAGCTCATGCGACACATCAGTCTTGGCAACCGTGGATTTGGAATAGCCGCGCCAAAGGCGTCCGTAGCTGAGGTGCACATCGAAACTGTCAGTGCGTCTAGCAGTTCGTCACGACCCGAATTGCACTCGTCAGCGTCTTCTCAAACGACTAGTAATCACCCGTCGCTCAGGGGCAGGCCAGCGTCTCCCCGGTCGATCGGCAAGCGGCCCGCGCCGTTCCCGGCACAGGCTTTCTTGGGGGCTCCCATGGAGTCGACAGTCGGTGCAATGCCATCGACGCCAAGCATCCCCATCATCAAAAAGACGAGCCATACTGCTGGCCCGCTAGAACCTGCCACCCAGCAGAAGCCGGACTGGGCGACGACGTCTCCTCTTGCACGTAAGAGCCGGAGAAATGAAGATCGTGATGCCAAGTTCTCTAGCGTTCTCAGAGCTGAGGATGCACAAAAAGTGTACAACAGCAAACTCAGAGCTGGTGCATTGCCCGACTTCCCACCTACCTTATCTCCTGCATCCGCCATCTTGCCGTGGCTGACCGTCCTCAACCCATCTAACCCGGACACGCACAAAGTCGATGATACAATGCTCTACAGCCGATGGCAGCACGTCTTTCCCCGAACTTCCAAAATGAAGATGATGAAGTGGAAGGCGCTGTGCTGCCCGGCTGCCGTTCCCTTGACTACGGAGTACTTCCCCACGAAAGCTCAATTCGAAAAGGACTACGAGTGCAAGCCGTACAATATAGCCCAGAATGAGGATGATGATCTAGTTGATGAACCCAAGAGTCGAGAAGACTTCTTGAGGGAGTTGGTTAGTTTGCGGCTTGCACAGGGTTTTCAGGTGATTGTCGGTCCAGCCGTCGCCAAGGCATTCGGTCAGAAACTCCTCAAGGTTGCCGACATATTCACCCGCGATCAGAAGTTGGAAGATGGCGCCAGCGTCTTCATGTCTGTTGGCAATACCATACATCAGCTCTCGTGCGTGAACGGTTCGGAGGTGGAGGTCAATATATACTCAAGGAAACCGCCCGCTACGGTGGCCCATTCGGCTGCTTCCCCGGCCATGTACAAACCGGCAATTCGGACTATCTTGGACACGGTCTACCGGACCCGGGAGCTAGACCTTGCCACCCCCCGGCCGGAGAGGGACTGGAACTACATCGACTCGTATCTGGCGGGTCATACGGACGAAATGACGGAGAATTTAAGGTTTTGGAGAGCAAGGTTCGTCCTCATCCCTGTTGAGCTTCGAGCGTCGTTGCTGCCGAGGATCCACGAAGAGGACAGCCCAGAAGAGATTCGCCTCGAGGGCATCAGGCGCCTCGCTCAGTTTTGGCAGAAGCACCGATACGTGGCGCCTTCCGAGAGACGGTATCAGTCGATGGCTCCGCGCAGGCGTAGGGATCCCAACCCGCTGGATATCGTGTTTAAGACAGAAGATCCATCTGTGGTTATTGCCGCGGAGCTCGAGACTCTCCCTCTCATTGAAGGCCTGGAGGGTGTTCCCCGAAGAGGCCAACTTCTCTCGCAAAGGGAGCGTTTCCGCAGGTCTAGCCTCAATATATCAGCGCTCGCGGAGGCAATGCAGCAGCCAGTTGAAAGCGGTGGCGTGAGGATGCAAAATCGAAGGTGGCATTTGCGTCTCCATAATAATTGTTTCATCGGATCGGATATGACTACTTGGCTCCTTGACAACTTTGAAGATCTCGAAAGCCGAGAAGAGGCCGAAGCCCTGGGTAAGATGCTCATGGTGTCCGATGAAGAGAGCTCAAAAGCGAAAGACAAGGAGAAGGATAGTAGTAGTAGTAAAGAAAGGAAGGAAAAGAGCTCCGGGCTATTTGTCCACGTCGAAAAGCGCCATGACTTCCGCGATGGTCAGTACTTTTACCAGATTTCCGAGGAGTACGCCAAGGCCCCGGCGATATCATCGAGCTGGTTCAACACGAAGAGAAGAGATTACACTGCGCCGTCTACGCCTGCCATAGAAACACCGATACGGGACTCGCCTCGGGTGACGAGGACCACAGCGATGCATGACGAGCCTCAATCTTTGCCGGCATCCGCCGCATCGACCCCGCTGATGACACCCATAGCTGGCGGGAAGCAGAGGGATAAGCCCCGGGTGATGCTGAGCAAAGTCATGAAGTACGATGTTGATCGCTGGAAGCGTTCGTACAGACCGGAAAGGATCAATCTACATTACGACCGACTCCACAACCCTGATGCCTGCTACCACATCAGGATCGAATGGATGAACGTCACGGCCAAGCTCATCGAGGACGCTGTCGAGAGCTGGGCCCGAGAGGCCGCCGCCTTCGGACTGCGCCTCGTCGAGGTGCCCATCAAGGAGGCATGCACCATCATGAACATCAACCCGTTCAAGAGGCCGTACCTCGTCAAGCTCGGGGTGCCTCCTCCGGCGCATTGCCCCGACGAGTACCAGGATCCCGCGGCGCACCCGTCCCAGGCGATCACCTGCAAGTTCTACTACCAGAAGGCCATCCTGCGCAAGTTCGACTTTGTGCTGGACTACGAATCTGCGTCTAATTTCCCGAGCAATGTGGACGTGAGGTACTCATGGGGATACCCAGACTTCAAGTACTGTCAGTACATCCACCGCTCGGGCGTGCTGCTCGCCGAGATCACAAGCGAGGGAGACTTCCTCCTCATGAACAATAGCCTGTGCAACAACCGCGGCATCTACAACCGCGAAAAGGACATGAAGGACGCACCCACCAGCACTGCTACAAACAACAGCAACGGCGGCGGCGGTGGCGGTAGCGCCAACAGGATGATGTCCTCCATCGGGAGCTACATTCCCGAACCCATCGCCCCACCTGCCAGCCCCCTCCTCAAAGCAGCCGCTACCTCCCACGTAAACTCACCACTGATCCGCCCTACGCCCGCAGGAGCGGACATGGGCGCCGGCGCCACGGCATCCATCACCAAATCCGCCGACCCGGAGGCCATCAAGGACGAGCTCGACCACTTCTGCCGCGACGCGACTCGCCTCGAGGCGTTTTACAAGGAAACTCTCGAAAAGGGCCCGCAAACGGCCCAGACGCCTCGCATTATCGGCCCCATCACCGCCAACCCTACTTCTGCTGGTAGTCATAACGCTCCGGCGGTGTTTGGCCCCGGGGGCTGGTTGGAGGTCGTGCCTGAGGCGAATATTCCTACGTTGGGGTTGCCGCCGGGCGTGTTGAGGGAGGTGAGTCCAAGTAGGACTGGGGCGGGACCACCGCCGGTTGGGTTGGGGCTTGCGGCGCTTAGGAGGAAGAGTGTGCAGGATGGAATTGGGCTTGGTGGATGGACTGGGTGAGTCGTTTGAAGTGTATGAAGTATGGGATTTGATGTGGGAAAGTGTTTTTATAACGTACATGTGCTTAGTGATGAATGTTGGCGGATCTTGTAGCGTAATTCTTTAATGATCGATACACTGTTAATATCTGAAGCAAAGGAGACTTGAGATCTCCTGATTAATATCGTCTATGTGGTGTGGAAAGCGTATTCCAAGACGAAATCCGCCTCACCATTACGCCAAAAAAAAGAGCACCAGAGGAACACAGAATTGCTGGCAAAAGCCATCGTCGCGGTCTATTGAAACCTCGAGGTCTTCATGGTATTCGTCTAAAAATACAATAATAATATAGCAAGCAGATCAAGCGCGACAAACCTCAACCGCTCCCCTCCTTCCAGGTTCCTAGTTTTTAAAACGCAGAAAGAAATCATCCCCTTCTTCTCTAAAGGGAAGAGCTCAAAAACACCCATATCTCCCACCTTCCATGGGGAAAGAAATGAAGCAAATGCCACCAATGTACCCCTTGAACCGTCCCCAAAACGCCAGACATATAGGAACTGAAATGCCGAGCTCAAAGAACGAAGATCTAGCTCTCACCCCAAAGGCAGTGAAACAGAAGGAAAGAAAAAGAAGAGGTACGGTCCAGCAAAGCTGAAAAATCATAATGAGCAACCGAAATCAAATAAGCCCCGTGAGACCAAAATGTCTCTTTCTGTCCTAGATCCGCACCAGACACCATCTCACCCAAGTAAAGGACGACCCGATATAAAGAAGACAGTTCCCCAGACCCAAAGTCTAAAACCAGCTTTGGTCCGCATCGCCAGCCGCATCAGTATCCATACTCTGCTTCCGCGGCCGACCTCTTGGCCGCGGCCGCGATGTCGAACGGGCGCGCTTCTTCCTCCCACCAGGCGTTCCAGTACCCTTACGCTTACGACCCCTTTCGGGGGGTGCGCCTTCATCCTCCTCTTCACTGGGCGTCCCAGCCATATCCCCATCCATATCGTCATCTTCGTCGGCAACCTTGAATTCGTGGTCGACATTAAGGAGATCGACGAAAGCGCGGCATTTTTCTATCATTTTCTCCTGCGAATCAAGCCCAGTCATGTGGGAGGCGACCTCTTCCCAGAATTTATCACCGGTAATGCCTTGGACCTTGACTGGAGACTTGGCCATGTCCTTTGCCGCAGCTTTCGCCCTGGGATCGCGCCGTTGCGTGCCTAGACCGTATAGACGCCGCAGGTATGTCCGGGCCTCCCACAGTGCTAGCAATATTATGGCTCCGGAAGTGAGTTGACGGAATTTCCTCTGATCGATGTTGAGCTTAGGAAGGGCTGGCTTTAGCGGCGCACAATCCATTTGGTCACCTACTCCGGGCTGTTGATTAGCTCGTGGAGGTGGTGGCTGATCTACATCCATGCGAACATTGAAGACCTCAGTCTCTATAATGTGCGCGATGGATGTCCCTGTACCTGTAACAGTCTTCTCCATGGCCGTCACGGTAGTCAGTACTTCGCCGATGGTCATGTACTCAAAAAATGCCAAGTTCTCAATGATGAACCTGCTGAACGCCACGTGGTACGGGGGGTTCTGCCGGACATCCAACTTCGTCGCGTCAAAGTCCACCTGCTGGCACAGCTTTTCCAGGAACTTCTGCCGGTTCCTCGACTTGCTAATCTTCAGAATTTCCGTCAACAGGTGAAGCTTCGATTGGAAGGGATTAGTCGTTGCCCCGCGCAGGTCCTTCACGATATCCCGTTGGTAGGCAAACGCAGACTGGACGGCCTTGGCGTACTCCCTTTCAAGAACAGTTTCATGCTTCTCGTGTAGAGATTTGTATTCTTGGTAGGCGAGCTCGGATATCTTGGGGTTAGATGATGTTTGTAGAGTAATGAGCGTAACACCGGTTTCTTTTGGATGAACGAGGCCCTGTCTGTTGATGCTGCCAAGAACCTCCACGGCGAGGAAAGCATGGTCATCTTGGGTCGCGAGTGAGATGCGCGTGAGTTCCTTGAGGAAACGCTGTGTAGTGGCACTCGCGACATCATCATAGTTTGTGCCGCCCATAACTGTGAGTTCGCGTTTCTTTTCACCTTCCGAATTACCAGCGGCCGCAGCTGCTGTTGCAGCTTCGGACCGCCTCTCCTCGTTGAGGAGGAATTCCTTGAACGACGAAAGAATCATATCCTCCAATGCAGGAATCTTTTCGTCGAACACCTGCTGGAATGTCGTGTAGACGTTCGGCGATACGTACGTGCGCGGCCAAGCTTGGCAAATTAGGCCCACCGCATCAAGGGCAGCTTTCCGAGCATCCTCCGGACGATCTGGAGTTGCAAAAGGAAGTAGGCAATCCACCATCAAGCCGGGCACGCTCTTCCCTTTCCATTTGGGAAACCTCTCCTTAAAGACGTCGGCTTGGCTATCAAGATCGCAGTGCTTGCCAATCATCCCGACAATGATCGAGTAACGCTGGAATACTTTAATATTCTGCGCGCTAAGCGGTACCTGACGAAGTTTTTGGATGCCCACGAGACTAGAGAGTGAGAGCCGCGCCAGGGGTGTGATAGTATTGAGGACGCCGCAGACAATCCACACACACGCTACAACATCATCCAGGAGGACTTTGCTGATCTTGGCAATGCTTGCAAGGAGCTGCGTTCGTACCTCCATGAAAAATTGTGTGTGGACAGCAGGAAGTTGAGGCAGGACACGCCGATAGATAACAACAGCCGCCCGGAATACATGAAGGTCTTCCATGGTAGTGAAGTTAGAGAGGTGAGGCTTCAGGAGCTTAATTTGCTCAAAGGTGAACAGCTTGGGCTCCGCCTTAGCGAAAGTCATGAGAACTTGGAGGGCGTCCCGACCCGAAGGAACCGCAGGGTCGTCAGAGTCGAGTGAGTTGATAAGCTCGAACATTGTAGCCACGAGTTTCGTGCATACCGCAAAGGGTCCTTCAGCCGGCTTGGTTTGTGGCCCTAGTACAGATTGGAGAACCTTGTCAAGAACTGCCGATGCGTGTCCCGCCTTACTCACTTGAATCATGAGGTTCACATGGTCGGTTAGGGAGGCCTGGAAGGCTGGTGTGTCCTCGGAATGATAGTAAAACGGCGCAAACCAAATCTCCTCGATCATTTGACGAGCAAGGTCCCTGACACTCTCATCCGGATCTTGCACTCGTAGCAGCAAGCCGCTCGCGATTGCCACCCGGATAGCTCTGTTCTTGTTTCGTAAATAAATATCTCGCGCAAGCTTCATGGCCCTCTTCCGAACCCCAATACCGGCATCCATAAACCGGTCGACAACGCGATCTGTTAGCTGTTCCTCAAGGTGTGGTCGCATTGACATGCATTTGCCGATCAGACCCAAGGCCGAGTCTCGGACCTGCGGCGAAGAATCGCTCGCACATTGGAGAATAAGATGAATGACGACGGAGTCACCATCCAGAATCGCAGGATCGGTTTCCAAGACTTGATTGACGCTCTTTAAACTCTTGCTTCGAACCGTGGCCTGGTCGCTGGCCATTGCGCCAAGAACAATGTTCAAGATGGCGTTAAACGATTCGCAAAGTTGGGATCGGAGAAGAACAACGGCATACGCGAGCCTGGAATGAGTCGCCGATACCGTCTTGAAGGTGTATTCCTTGGACATCCACTGTCGATCGTCAAGCATCATCCGAAGTCGATAAGCAAGCCGTCCAAATTCCCTATCTCGCTCCTCATCATCGCCTTCCAGGGAATTGTACCCGGCGCAGATTTTATTTGCCCAATCGCAAGTTACCAAAGATATAGCGCTCTGGAGATGGTGATCATTGGCGCATTTTTCTTCTAGATGCTCGAGAGCTACGCGGTAAGGGCCGGACCAGGAAACCGCATATTCAACACGAGCCCGTTGTTCTAGAGCAGTCATAGCGAGCTCCGAGAGGAAGCGTCCAAGATCATCCGAGTCGCCGCCATCTAGCGTACTCGCAGCCTTGCGGACAGTCGACCGTAATCTGGAGATTGCGGCGCCCATAGTGCCTAAAACATCCAGAGCCATGTTTTTGGCCGGAGCTGCGGTCTTTTCACCCTCCGAGAGCTGGACCATTCGAACCATCATGAAGCGAAGTAATAGCTCCGCTCCAGGCCAGTCCGGGGAGTCAAGACATGTGGTGAAGTCCTCAACGAAGAGGTCAAGCAAGTTCCGGTAGGGTGTGTCGCCAGACTTGGTCGATTTGAGGGCCCGATTAACGATGAAGCCAACCACATAGCCGGCATTCCTCTTCGAGGTTTCAACCAACGGTGTCACCGCATCCTGGAGTTCTTTTACCGCAGTATCGAACTGCTCGCAACCGTCCTCTTCACTCTTGACAGTGTACATTATTCGGCCACCCGATGCCGACTTCTTTGGTGTGTCACTGTCCTCTCCGTCCTCGTCCATATCCTGGAGCGCACTCCGCCTTCGCTCTTTAGCCTCGTCTACTTTACCAGCACTGGACTGAACTAGCCTCATAATCAAGGCTGAAACAGGCTGGATGCTACCACCGTCAGCAAGCTTGAAGTGCCGCGCGCTTTGCTTCCCGACAGGGAGCTTTTCAAGAGACGTCAAGATCTCGTCGAAAATTCCTTGGCGCTGGCCTGGGTTCATCAAGAAAATCTGGCAGAGCACATCCATAGCCACAAGCCGAAGCCCGTCGAACCGCTGTACACCAATAACCGAGTCCTTCTCGTAGTGGGCATTTTCGACAAATATCAAGCGAGTCGCTAAAAATTCTAATGTGTTGATGACCGACTCGGAGAGCTCAATATTCGTGACCAGAGTAGCCAACAAAGAAAAGAGCCGCTGGCTGTTGGTGAATATGGGCGCGATTGCTTTTTTATGAGGGAGCAGCAGCTTGAATAAAACCCCAGGCGGACCGGAATTCCGAAGCTCAACCATGGGAACGACGATACCATCCATGATACGCTTAAAGAGATCAATGCATTGCTGAATTGTCTCTTCCGAGTAAAGTCGCTTATCTTCCCTTCCGCCAGACATGATCCGGAGGGCAGTCCGCGCCGCCTTCAGTGCAGTCTCGATATCAGGAATGCGTTGTACCCATGACGCGATTTCCGGTTCACCCCACGTGTCGTCAATCTTGAGCTCTAGTGCGTCCACATCTTTGATGCTACCCTCACTGAGCTTTTGGTACCGCACCAAGTCCTCGATGGGCACCTGGTCGTATACACCAAGGCCAATTACTTTCTGGATAGCGGCCTGGGCCTTTTGATGTATGTATGCGGTGAGAGTAGGCTCATTAGATTCGTTGAGAACAACCAAATGACCGACACCGACGTCACCAGAAATTGCCGAGCCAACGGCGCCGAAAACCTCGCGTGTGATCTTCATCAGGTCCTGTAATGCAGCGTCCGCACGTTGTCTCTGGTCCAGACTGGCCCCAATAAGGCCTTCGCCGTCTAACCCATCATCCCGCTTTCGCTTCTTGGTAGACAGATGGGTCGGAGCATCTGGAGAGTCGGGAACCTCAATATATTCATCTTTGTCGAGGATAGGGGCGCCGAGCTCTACCGTAATACTGGGCTTCTCAACCGTGGCTGAAACGGGGCTTTGGCTTGGGGCCATAGGCATCGGTGTAGGTGGGGGTTTAATAGGCGTGATGGGAGGAGGGGGAGGGTGAATCTGCAGGTCCGACGGGTTGACAGTCGAGGTATCGGGAACGTGAGAGATTGTCGGTTCTGGCTGCGTTTGCGGTTGAGGAGTTGCCTGCAGTTTAGCAGGGTCGATGGAGGTCGGTTGTTGCTCCAGCTGGGAAGGAGCACCCAGGTCGTCAATTTCAATGTAATCATTGATATTGATTGGCTTCTTCAGAGGTATAGCAACTTCTATTTTGGCCCGATTTTGGTTGAAGGATTGAGCATTCGCAGCTTTGTTTGGCGTGATTGTGGGTGTTGCAGTCGGGGTCTCCACCTTGACCTTGGACTTGGAGGAGCTTGCCTTCCTACTTGACGATTGTGGCCGGCCATTCATAACGGAAGGACTGGCGTCTTGTCTGGCATATGTGAAGTGGTTCGATACACGGTCGAAGATGGCTCTGGCTAGTGGAGATAAACCCTCGGCTGCATTGCGCTCCGCGCCGATGACGCCAGGCACTCGTGGGATCGGCTTGAACTTGCTAATTCAAGAATTAGAAATTAATTGCAGAGCCATCATCGCACCTTCCCTATCGACTTACTAATCTGTTCTTTCTTTGGGTTTTATCTCGTGCAGCAGAACATCGGCGACCTGCTTGATGTGTTTCTTGTTTGACGACTGCGCATTTCCGCTTCGATTCACATTGTCGAATTCGTCGCGTGTGAAGAGGTCGGTTAGCCCAGCACCGAGCGAGCCGGAGCCGATTATAGGGTCGGGTATAAGATCTACAAAAGTGAGTACGCGATGAACCAGTAATGTCTTACGCATGCGACAGGCGAGAGGACAAACCTGGTGTGAAGGGTAGGATAGAGGTCTGCGGAGAATATGGGAGAGCTTCTTGAAGCGTAAATGGTCGCGTCAGCTGGTTCCTCGAATCATGGCCCCCTGGGCCACCAGAGAGGCCATTTTTCTGCCCCGAATAGGCATTCGCCATCTTCAAGCGACCAGCTCACGCCTTCGAGCGGTCTCGAAAAGACTCGGGAGGATCGTTCGTCGAGTCGAGATGCTTAGCACATTGGAGAGTATTTCGGGTCGCACGTCGAGGTCATGGTAGGTCGAATGAGAGACTCTGGTCGGATGAGATATTCAACTTGTATTCGATAGGAATACCAACGCCGAAGGAAGGAGGAGATGGCGTTGTATCGATAGAAGCTCGAAGGGATGCAGTGAATCGAGAGCCCTGTCGTCGGCCAGGATGGTCGTGGTAGGCATAAGTGGGACTGTGCGTTACCACCAACGCCTTGCGACAGCTTATCGGTTTAGCCGCAGTTACTCCGTTATCGGGTCCATTGTCGTGGGAATTTTTTTTTTCACCTCTCCAGATAAATTATGCAGCAAGAACCGATTTAGACTATTTTCAGACAGGCGGAAAATATTATATCTTCGTGGAAGATTACAAACATCACTTTCTGGTTTGCGACGGCTACTTTTTTTTTCTGACAATTTCCCATTAAATATTCCAATATGTCGGCAATCGGAGGTATTGTCTTTTGCGTGGGTTGCGGCAATCTGCTTCCCGAATCCATGGGTAGTAAGAAGAACATCTTGAAATGTGAATGCTGCGGACTAGAGTCCAAAGGTAAATCTACATGCTTGCTACCAGAACCAGACACGAGTAGATTCCTCTAACATGCCATGGGCGACAGATATTGCACAGATAAAGACCGAATCGTCGACCACGCCGAACGATTTCCCTTCACAACTTCGACAGAAGCTGCACACCTCGATTCAGGCCGTCGAGAGGCATAAAGTTGATACTATGGCGAAGACGGAGGAGAAATGCCCGAAGTGTGGTGCCCGCGAGGTCCGATACACAACACTACAGCTCCGAAGTGCCGACGAGGGAAGCACGGTTCTCTTCTTCTGCGACTGTGGACACAAGTACGCGCATACGTTTTTCGGCAAAGATGGAATAACTTTTGTTGAGGCTAACGAAAACCCGCAGGTGGAACCAAGACAACTAATCTCCCAGTTGTTGATTCGAATATATCGCTCCGTAACGCAAAAACATACAATCGCCCACACTTACACTTACACCCGTCATGCGGAAGCCGGCGTCGTCTCTGGTATCAAAGCGTACTCCACAGTGTTGCTCCTCTCATATTCCGCCATATCCAGCGCAACGATGACACTCTCACGCACAACCCTCTCGGGATCATCAAGGAATTTCTTCAGAGTGTCCTCAACACCCTCCTCATCGCCGAGACTCCCGAGAGCTTCGGCAGCTTCGTGTCGAACCATACTTGCTTCGTTGGGATTGCTCAAGGCATCTGTGAGCGCAGGGATAGATGCAGGGTGAGATAGCTGGCCGAATACAAATGCGATCTCATGTCTGAAGAGCGCAGAAGTATCCTTAAAACCCTCGGCGAGGGCCTTGACGGCAGGAACGGCGGTGGGAAGGGAGGGAGGGGATGCTAGGTCCCTCAGAGCGAACATGGCGCGATACCGGAGGAACAGAGGCTTAGACGTATCCATGAGGGTCTTCCCAAGTTGTTCGACAGACTCTTCGGTTTCGGGTAGCGGCGGGGCGGGGTCGACGGAAGCAAAGTCACTGCAACCGTATTTTCCCGGGTCAGCTTTCTGTCGCGTAAGAGGGCAGGGGAGAAAATAGAGAAGCAATAGAGAAGGGAGAAAAGAAAAAAAACTGGGAATATAACTCGTAGAGTTGCAAAGCCTCCATATACTAACCTCTGCTTCAACTTCTCGGCCTTGCGCTCCGCCGAGTTCTCCCACTCAATCCTGTCAATAGCGATCTCACAAGTCTCCTTTACGGCGACGGATTCCCCTTCGCGATCTCTGAACCTTCTCAGAAGATCAAGGCTCTCTTGGTCTCCCAAAGCGCCAAGCGCCTCGGCCGCCTCATGACGAACCATAGGATCCTCCTGGAGGTCCTCGAGGGTTTCCCGGAGGCTCGTCGCCGCGGCAAGGTTCCCCGTCTGTCCGAGGCAGTATGCTAGCTCATGCTTGAGAAGCGCGGAAGGCGAGGAGAGAGCGGCGGCGATGGCATCGATGGCTTCGAGAGCCTTGGGGCCTTCGGAGTGCTTCGCGAGATGCTTGAGGGAGAAGAGGGCTCGAAATCGGACGGGGAGGTGGGTGTCCTCGGAGCAGAGGGATTCTCGCAGGCTCGCGATCGTGATATCGGAGGAAGGCGACATTGTTTTTGTGCTTTATCAGGACGCTTGAGAGTTCAACTGGATCCGATTGTGCGTTAGTCCGTTGCTGTTTTGAGAGTTCAGGACCCTGGCTGGTGTGGTACCTTTAGGACTGAGTGCATGGTGGGGAAGGAATTTTTTATGGTGGGGTCGCTCTTATCAATCTTATCGGGCGATTTTGGTTTTTGCTGGTGGAAGCGCCAGGAACGAAGATGAGGGCCAATTCGGCTTCAAAATTCCAACCAAATTCCCCAGCAAAGCTGTTGGAGATTTTAACCTATGAAGTGAATAAAAGTCGTGGAATCATTGTTTTCCCGAGCTGCGAAATGTCAACGCAAGATTATATCCCATCCCACCCTTTGGTTCTCGTGACCGATGTCGGCATGACGGGGCTTCCATGTGCTCAGTTGCATCATCTGAAGCTTGGCCCGCGCTTCATACTCTCACCGTGAGACCGCAATAGTAGGGAGATTAATATGCATGCGCAGGTAAGACGTGTAAAAAAATATTGACGTTTAGTGACGGCGCCAAATGAGAAAATAGCTTTGCATATTCATCATGAGAAAATGAACCGAAGGCGCGATGTTTGGTGTCGATGGACATTATTAATCAACAGTTATCTATTGCTTGGTCTCCTTGGATTTCCCCCCTCAACCTCGACCTTCGCCACTTGACCCGAAAACATTTCCAGACTCTCCAAACGTTGAAACGCTATAAGAGAAAAGCAGCGGATATGGCGCCCGCACTAGACATATCTCCAGCAGAGGAGATACAGGACGTGCTCTCCAACCCCCTCAAGCAAAAGCCACAACTCGTCGCTCCAGAACCCGAGCACTGTCCGGGCCCAGAATCCGAGCGAGCGGGTACGGCCGACTCCTGCGCCGGATGTCCGAACCAAAAGATATGCGCGTCGGCCCCCAAGGGCCCCGATCCCGAGATTCCGCTCATAGCGGCGCGGCTAGAGGGCGTGAAGCACAAGATTCTCGTCCTGAGTGGGAAAGGCGGGGTAGGAAAGAGCACGTTCACCAGCCTGCTGGGACATGCGTTCGCTACAAACCCGGACACCACGGTGGGCATCATGGACACTGATATCTGCGGACCGAGCATACCAAAGATGATGGGCGTCGAGAATGAAACGATACATGTCAGCGCTACGGGGTGGTCGCCCGTATGGGTGATGGACAATCTCGGTGTGATGAGCATCCAATTCATGCTTCCGAACAAGGATGACGCCATCATCTGGCGAGGACCGAAGAAGAACGGCTTAATTAAGCAGTTTCTGAAAGACGTGGAGTGGGGCGAGATGGACTTCCTTCTCGTAGATACGCCCCCGGGTACAAGCGACGAACATCTCAGCGTCAACACATTCCTCAAGGAGAGCGGCATCGACGGCGCCGTTCTAGTCACAACCCCGCAGGAAACTTCGCTACTCGACGTACGCAAGGAAATTGACTTTTGCCGCAAGGCCGGCATACGGATACTTGGGCTGGCGGAAAATATGAGTGGCTACGTCTGCCGCTCTTGCAAACATGTGAACCGCATCTTCAGGGCGACGACGGGAGGAGCGAAGAAGTTGGCGGAGGAACAGGGAATCCCGTATCTGGGGGCGGTCCCTCTAGACCCTAGGATCGGTATTGCCTGCGATTACGGAGAGAGCTATTTCGATTCTTTCCCTGACAGCCCGGCATGTACGGCATTCATGGAGGTGGTGAAGGGCGTTGCGGAGCAACTTGGACTCAAGATTGACGAAGTGCTACCGAAGGATTGAATCACTCTCCAACTATTCACAAATTCTTTTTTTTTTTTTTTTTTCTTTTTTTTCTTCCCCCCATCCTCGATCATCGGGCTTGGATACCCCATATTCTCAAGATCATAGAACATGCATAGAGAAGCGCGGCGCAAGGATATTATTCATGATAAGCATGTTAAATCGGGCTTCGTCGCACACAAAAAAGTTGGATGCCATCCATGCCTTCAATATTCTCGTGTTCCTGCTTTCCTTCTTCCCCGACTATTCAGTCCTTACTCCACGGCCAATTTTTTCGGTATTTCATCCAAGTCTTCGATACTCTCGATATCGATCACACGGCCAGCTTCGCTCGTATTGCGCATCAGCTCCTTCGCCCCGGCGTACAGCATTCTCAGCTCGGCATTGCACGTAATGGGCAGATAGTACAGCAGGACGTAGGGAACCGAGAGGCGGCCGGAAGGCTAGTGAAAACAAAAGGCAAACAGGGGTCAGCACTCTAAATTCTTGGTCATCGTTCCATTACGGCAAGACGGCAAGCCGCGTGTCTCCTCCTCTAAGGTGTTTTCGTACTCCGTTGTAGGAAGCAAAGACCGAAGCTAAGTGAGGGATGGAACGATGTTGGGTATCGGAGGGTAACTGACGCAGGTATGCGGTGTAATGGTTCACGAGTTCATGCGACGAAGGGGGGAGGGAGAGGCGGACGGGACTTGAGGAGAGGGAGGGGTGCATACCAGGGTCAGGGGGTAGCTCAGTAGCACGAATCGTGGGGCGTGGTCAGGGAGATCATCGGCGATTTCTTCGAGGGACTTGTAGACGACCTTGTCTTGGTCTTGGCGGATCTCGTGTGTCGATTTATCGATGTAGTCTGAAAACGCAAGAGTTCCGACTGGTTAGAATCAAGACGCTTCTAAGGATTGATACGTCGTGGCCCGGATGATTGGCAAAGCCTCAAGGGAGCTTGCAGCGCGCGATGACGGCAAGCTAACCCAACCATATAAAAGACATACATACAAATCACAGCTTGGGGATCATTCGCACGCGAAGTTCCGAGTCGGAACTTGCGCAGATGGTCCTTTGTCTCTTGCGAGAACGTGTAGAGTCTCGCCTCGGAGCTCTGTGAAGTCACACGCGACGAAGAACCATTATGTCATATTAGCGGGGTAGTTTCGCAATGGTGAGGGCCTGGATATCCCCGCATTCCAGAGGGAACGGGTTGTTGCGCACCATTGTTATTGTGTTGGAGTCGGATTGAACGGAATCAAGTAGAGGTATTTAGTTGGCGTTGCCAAGTATATCTTGATCGCTCTTCTGGGTGATGTAAGAAAAGGCGGCGTTGGAGGGAGCACTCAAAGAGTGGTTTGAGTGCAGGTGCTAGATGTACATTTGAAGGAAGGATCGAGCTGCCGAGCTGACATTGATGAAATATCGCCTCGTGCTCGTCTTGGACCCCACCCGCTTTCACCTTCAGATATCAAGAGCGTCCTTCTATGCTGCCCAACAAAGTATTGAGATCTTCAAAAGTGAGCGAGTGTCGACGAGCACATTGATCGAACGAAACGTCCTGAAATACGTGTATGTATTCTCTTATTTGATGGGATTATCAAACTTGTCGCAGTCCGACAACATTGATATTGCCGGAGAGCCTACTCCGAAGACATCAATTGGATTGATGGATGCGTCTATTAATAATTAATGCTGGCTTGTCCCAAGACCATTTTGGCTGTCTGATTTTGTTCAATTGAATCGATTGAGGTTTCCCAGAACGATAGAGATCCCGTGAGCGAGCCCCTCCCAACTAGAAGGGTGCACGTATACTTTAGACGAAGTCTTTCCGAGGGGGGAATCTGGGGAGGAGTCGGGGTTCATCAATCGAGACCAATTGGTTTGATTGATGTTAATATCAAACGGCGCCAGCTATCACCCTTTCAGTAAAGAGTAATTCCAGGCGATCCAGGTACTGACACCCCAATTTGCTCCTAATTCTCGCCTCACACCCAGTCGGAATTAGCACATTACCACCACCGCGTAAACTGCCGAAGCACTTCCGGGAAACCTCAAAGCCCGCTCACACGCTGCAACTGCAACTCCATCTCCCGCCGAACCCGCAATTTGCTGAATTCCGACTCGTCGCCTCATGATATCCCGACTATCCCAGGTTGCGAGACACCTCTCGACTTCGCCTACGAGCCTCCTCAGAACCGGCCACCAAGCTTCCAGCATCCTCTCTCGCAGAATGGCCTCGGCTGACGAGCGCAATGCGCGGGCGATACACACCGCGGCCTGCCTCATCATTGGGGATGAGGTGCTGGGAGGGAAAACGGTTGACACCAATTCGGCGTATTTGGCGAAATGGTGCTTCTCACTAGGTATTGTAAGCGATATCGCTCGGGATTCAAAGGGCTAGACAGGTCAATGGCGCAGTTGGGAATGAGGACGAGGATAGGGCCGTGGCCGGCATACTCGGCGCTTTTTTTTTTTTTTTGTGGAAAACCGTTCGTCTAACAGGCATAGAACCTAAAACGTGTCGAGGTCATTGCCGACGATGAGAGTGAGATTATTGAGGCTGTCCGCCGTATGAGTGACAACTACGACTTTGTTGTTACCAGGTAAGTTTCCTCTACGTTTTTGCATCAGCTCTTTGTGAATATCTAGTGTCGAGGTTGACGAAATTGCACTTCGCTAACCGGTTGGCAGTGGAGGTATTGGACCTACGTATGCATGCACCCCAAGCCACAACCCAGAAAAGCATTAGCTTTTTATCCGTAAGCGATTAACAAGAGGCATTACTCACTGCCCTTTGCAGGCATGACGATATCACATATCAGTCCATCGGCAAGGCGTTTGGCCTGCCCTTGTGTCTTCACCAACAAGCCTACGAGCGGATGCGAAAGATCTCTGTCCCTCACCCGTCACAGCCCAACTTTAACTGGGAGGATGACACGCCGGCTAAGAGGGCGAGATTGCGCATGGTGCAGCTTCCCATTGATGAGAAGAGAGATGTCGACAAGCAGGTCATCTTCCCTCACGACGATCTCTGGGTGCCGGTTACCGTCGTGAACGGAAACATTCACATTCTTCCGGGTGTCCCCAAGCTTTGTAGGTCCTCCCCATCCCCCGCCTAGCATTGAGTTGAATGGGGTCCCGTAGGTAGTACATGATACTGATGCGGTTTACTCTCCAGTCCAAAAACTACTTGACGGACTAGGCCCTTTCGTCCTCCCGAGACTCGCAGGCGAGGGCAAGGGCATCTTTCGAGTCATCATCTCGACTCCTCTAGCTGAAAGTCTCGTCGCGGACTATCTAACAACTCTCGCCGCGAGGGTAGAGCCACAGGGCGTTAAGGTCGGCAGTTATCCACGATGGGGCGAGGCGCACAACACGGTAACATTGGTAGGCCGAGATAAGGATTTCCTTGAGAGCTTGGTCGCAGAGGTGGAGGAGAATGTGCAGGGCAAGAGGATCGAGTCGGAGGATGTGCTCGATGCGGAGCAGAAGAAGAACACTGCGGATCTTTCGTGAGGAACATAGGAGAACGAAGGGGTAGTGTTCGGCCTCTCCGATGGTGTAGTTTCTCACTTTCACAGTCCCCCCATATCGATATTTGGCTCTTGCGTTGTATGGACCATTATTGGATGGACGCTAGGTTTGCGGTTCTTTGCAAGCCTACATTGTTGTGATATTAACATGGAAATAAGAAGAAGATGAAATGCGGCGATCCCAGCGTCTGGCCTCGGTGAGCGCTTTAAGAAAGCGGTTCCTGCGTGGGGTGTTCGTGACCCACGAAGCCCACGTGCTGTCAACCTCTGGACGAGAAAAATTGGACATCGCGAAGATCAATTTGGGCCAAATACGTAAGTTTCATAATCGCCAAAGTAATTCGGAGAATTCTTTCAATTCATCCCACGCGGAAGTTCTTGCAGTTGTTGCAACGGCCTTTTACAAGTACCAGTTTCGCCTCATGAGGCGTTAAGCTGGCGGAAGCCACAGGGACCCATGCGGAGAACTGGAGTCGTCGATTCGTGACCTCGTAACCGTTATAACAATCTAGACTCCCACCCAATGTTGGTTTTCTCCGTATCTTTTCCCTGGAATGTGGTCCGACTAGAACATTCCAAAGAAAGGGATCCAGAGGCGAAGAATCGAGTGTATGCGACTTTTTCGAAAGTGGGGGACTCTGATAGAGACATCCATTGATCCAGATCCATTCGACGGATCTAATCACGACTTGATGGGTCGATGAAAAGTTCCGTTGCTACTTGTCAGGCGGGCATGACTTGGCCAGCCAGGCCCACTGAGGGCTTGAATAGTCAAGACAATCCGACATTGAGTACTATGTAGACTAACCATTCTCCCGGTATGCTGAGTGGGCGTACGAAGTAGATGACCAGTACTTTGTTAAACAAAACTTCTCTATATCCCTTGAAAAGAAAGATAACACTGCCGAGCTCTCGCTGGCGATAGCTTCCCTCGTACCACACGCCCTACTGAGCCAATCAACGAAAGTCCTTTGTACAAAGGGTTCTCTATCAAACTCTATCAAAAGGCGGGCGAAAACAAAGAGTAGGTTCAACAGAAGGCCAAGGGGCAGCTGATTCTTCTGATATGCATGCAAGCGGTTCAGGACATCGGTATCATGACCAGGTCCTAGTCACCGCCAACATCCCTTCCCAAAGTACATACACAACAGCTGTTCGAAACGCTCGCCACAACCAGGATGTAAATAGTAGGTAAAATTTACCTCAGCGGAGCCTAATTAGCCAAGAGGCTCTGGTCAAGATCCATACGTTGGACTGAAAACTAGCAATAATGTCTTGAACGCGGCGGTCGCCGGTAATATTGGCTTTAGTATAATCGTTATCTGTTGGTAGTTTAGTATGGAAACATGCGCTCTGGGCCTTCTAGCGCGTCCTGGCGTTCGATTTCAATTACTTTGTACTTTCGGCCAACCGTCATAGATTCTAAGGCTTCTTTCCACGTTCTCCCGGGGGCCCATAAGTGGGACAGAGTCTATGTCGAGGCATAGGCGGCGTGAGGCGCACACAGGCAGTGAGTGCATGATTTAAAAAAAAAAAAAAAAAAAAAAAAAAAAAAAAAAAGATCTTTGCGGAAATACCATCACAACCACCCGTCTGACCCGAGGCCCTGGGCCCGTCTTTTATCCCTTGGGGTTTCAAAGGGCGCAACAGGTGGGCATATGTGAAAAACGAGGGTTCATGTGTCGATGCCTTGGCTGAGCGGTAAGGGCTACGCTACTCTGAACTAGTGACTCCTTCGCAGAAGGATTCATGGTGAGAGCTTCGTGGAAATCATGCGAGGGAAAAGTCTAATTCGCCAAATCGGGCCCAGGCCCACTAGGAAAACTACTAGGAAGGGTCTAATATTGTGACGGACCCTCATCGTGATCTGTGAGAACCTACACTATGGCCTACATTACGGGAGGATGGAATCCTTGGCTGCGGGGTCTTGAACATTGAATAGAGGGGTCAGAGTTAAAAGGCGCCATGCGTGACATTGATCAGATCGCTTCCCCGATATGGTCGTAGTCTATGAGCATCAGAAAGGTTTCAGAGGATCAGCAATGACGGTGTGGAGAGGCCGGGGGGTTGGAGAGAAGGTAAAGAGTAACGAATGAACGTCAGAGACCGGGGTCTGAGCAGCCTCATCAACCGCTGGCTTCTGGAATAACCGCCTATGAAGAGGAAGTATCTACAATCTGGGCGAATCGTAAGCTTCGACAACGAGCATTTCCTTGGTTCAAGAGACCGGCTGATGTGATGGGATGGGCTAATGGCATGATAGACTTAGACTTCCGCTACAGTTTTCCTGCAGGAGGCGCGGCCGCGGGGAGACATGGGGGCAAAAAAATCTCGCGCCTGTTGTTGGCGTCCCTCTCGGTCTCCAATGCACTTCGTGCGAAAAGCGGTGTGATTGGCCGTCCACGATGAGCTCTGTTGAAGAGGTTAGGTGTTAGGTGATGTTACTCCGGCGGCGACCACTGGGGGGGCTCGATCACCCACCAAGCCCAGGCATGCCGTTACCCTCAGCACGGAGAGGTCTCGAGAAAAGATGAAAGGGAAAACAAATAATTATCATGTGGAAGGGCCCCCTAAAGGTAAGGTTTGGTGCTAAGGAATTCTGGGAGAGGTACGATCTGCACAACCACGCGACTTGGCGCGTGAGAACAAGATCTCAAACCTTTCTAGAAACAGAGGGGAGGAAACATTTGAAGTGTACGAACCACGAAGCAACTCCGTCGTACGTGACGTAAGTACGACTTTATTCTGTGAGGGATATCAGCGTAGTGAATCCCTGCTACCAACATACAAGTCGCTTGGGATTTGCAGTACCGCGGAGCTGAGAATAGATCTTGATGCGAGTAAGACGAAGGGGTCGTGACCGGTCTTCAATTATTGGTCGACCCTTCTTGCTCCTCAGCTTGCTCCGGGGACCAATCCGATCCTCTAATGCGTTCTTGTAGGTTAGGTTTCCAGTGTAGACGCCGCCGCAGTGATCCAAATTGTGTGCCTGTGAGAGCGAGTAATGAGATCGGACTCTGACACAGGAGGGTCAACGCCTCCATTAAAGTACAAAGTACTCCGTATCCGCAGATCCAACTCCGCACAGCTCTCACGACTCCTTGCAGCGTGCCTGCCGCCTAAAAACCGCATGGCTGCGGGATGCATGCTGCAGCCAAGGACAGGGGTTTTTAAGGTGATATCTGGTGCTGCAGCATTTCGAGCAGTCTGACAAAGTAATAGGTGGCACTGGCACTGCTCTTTTACAAGGACGAAGTATTTGCCAGGCTCGGAAAACCACTTCGGACATAATATTGATCTTTTGCCAAGACACAAAACGGGAAAATAGTGTTGGATAAGAGTTCCAACGCAACTGGTCCCGGTCCGTCGGCGAATAATAAAGGAAGGAGAGAACCCGAAAAAAAAAGGAAGAAAAGAAGAGAAAAAAGAAGAGACAAGGGGGCCTTGCAGCTTGCCGTTTTCAGACAACATGCAGAAGAATGGGCGGCAAGAGCACAATATGGAAGCTGTGATATGACCGAAACGAGACGGCTCGAAGCTTTAAATGGCAGAACATGGTTGAATCGAGAGAAACAAGAGGGAGAAGCGGGATACTTGAACTTGGTACCTTTTGGTGACTCCTGATGTGTCTCCTAGCGAGGAAAACTGGCCATTAATATGAAGCCAATTCGTATGGAATTGCTGTGGATATTAAAAAGGGCCCTCTCCGCCAGCGATGGCATATTGGGCGATGAGGAATACCGAAGCACGGTTGGTGGCCTGGCTCCTCCCGGGAATTAGAAATGCTGCCCGAAGCTCTTTGCTGGCTAGTATGGACTGCCGTTTTGGCCTCTTTCTTGCTTATGCAACAAAATGTTTACTTCTCCTAGAGACCGACTAACAGTTGATGGATGAATTCTCCCCTTAGCAGCTTCTCGCATGTATTAAAGAAGAATGTGATAGTTCGCCCGATCAACCAAAGGTGCCTCACTCGGGAGTTCTCTGGTGGTGGTATGCGCGAGTTCATGAACCCACTGAAGGCCAACTTGCATTGACCCCTATAGTGGTCGATGGCACCTTGGATGATACCTCGCATCTACGAAGGAGGACATTTTAACCATCTGGGAAGATATCGTTTCTCTCAGATGTGGAGATTGTCCACCGTTGGCGTATCAAGGTGTGTGAGAAGTACTTTGTTGTCGTCCATTCTTCTAGCACCATTGCATCCCATCGACTGCCTGGCGAGTGTAACGTGAACGCTGGGAAGTTCACCAACTTCGTGCACTGGTTGTGACTATGCAGTACGAAGTACGAAGCAAACTACCCCAAAGTCACGGTTGCATCAGAACGGCTAGAATCTTTTGACAGCCTCCAGACCCGAGGGAGAAAGTCTTCTGTAAGACGTTGGTGTGTCCAGAGACACCGAATTTCTCGATTTGCCGCTACGGAAGCCCAGCTTTTCCATCAGCCTCAACGAATCATGAGGATAGGTCTAGACAACGGCCTGTCAGTGCGCCGCAAATGAAGTCCAAGGCAATGGCTTGTCTATCTTGAAAGACGATTCCTCTCACATGTTGATACCAGACATGCTTCCTGTCCTCGCCCGTCAGCCCTAAGCGATAATTATTGATATATTCGAAGTCGAGGTTGGGAAACAGTGGAAGATCGAAACCAAGGCATCAAATCCAGTCGAATAATTTAAGATTCTTTTTGAGATTGGGAGCGTTGTTGTATTAGTCGACAGACCTTGAAGTATGTACTGATACAGGAGCTTAACATGATGGATGCTTGATTTGTGTAAATGATTTATGTGATGTATCCCTCGCTTCGTTGATCTCCAGCTAAATGATATTATGATACCTCAAATTCAACACTGAGGAGCCGAATTTGTATGTAGCGCACTAGCAGGTCCATCAAGATGGACAGGCATAACCTGTTCGCAGCAGTGACTGTGGGATCGATGTAACTGCGGTGTACATCGTCCGTCCTCCTCGACATGTACTGTACAATTGGTGGTCTGGGTCTCCCTGACCGACCTGACGGGAGGTGGACACCTACTACTTCGTAGAATTGTTCAATCTGGAGTTCGCTCCACTATAACTACACTACAAAGCATGTACTTCGTACAGTACCAAGCAGGAGGCAGGAGCACAGCACTTGAGCCTTGGTAACACACTAAATTTCTCCCAATCCACGCCCCTCCTTCCCACAGCTTTTCCACGCATTCCACCTTCCCTTCCACCCTTCCACCCCTTCCCACCTTCCACCCTTTCCAGTTCCACCCTTCCGTCCTTCCCACCCCACCTTCCAAGATTTCACCTATCAAAGTCACCCCTAGACGCACCTACCACCTATGGGGTACTTCCACCATCCCTTAGACCTCAGCACCAAGCCCGAGCTACATGTACTCCGTACACACACTGTCTTTGATCCCCTATTATCCTACCGCTTTTGTTTTGACATACCAAACCCGCTCTCCCAATTCTTTCCTCACCTCCGCCTCTGCTCTGGCCCATACTTCGCATTCTATTCTCTCCCTTCCCCATCCCTTGCCGCCCTTTCGCAAGACCGTTTTTAACACCAGAGATCCGAGGAAATAATACTAAGCAGTCAACAACGGATACAGTTGAGGTTATCTGTTCGAGTCTGCTCCTTTTGAGTTTCCACATCACCTAAACTCCTAACCGACCCCCTCGACCATTCCAACAACCGTTCCGTTCCCACTTCACCTCTTCCGAGCCACGAACCGAGTGGGTGTTGTAGAGCAGGACACGACACTTTCCACCTTAATCGCGCGCCTGTTTCCTCTCCGACTCGCATTCAACGCATTCAACATTCCCTCTCTCCTGATCAGCCCCGGGGACATCCAGTTAATCTCCACTTCCCCTTTACACCTCACCTCGCTGCCTTCACCAAAACCAGAGACGTTAGGATACTTCAGGGAGTAGTCTTTCAATTCATCACATAACCTGCCGTCATAATGGCATCCAAGGTTAGTATAAATCAATCATATATGTTCCTGGCATCTTTACCCTCGCGTGCCCTTTCAGGGCTTCAGGCCCGTCGTGTGTGTTGTGTCTGTGACGCAACGCTTGTTGCCCATTGTCGTTTTCTCTTTCCCCTAATCCAAAGCATGGCCCTCGGGCAATTGGTAAAGATCACTATAGCTGATACTTAGACAACCGGCTGCAGTTCCTCCGAGAATATAAGCTGGTGGTTGTAGGGGGTGGAGGTGTTGGCAAGTCCTGCCTCACCATTCAGCTAATCCAGAGCCATTTCGTTGACGAATACGATCCCACAATCGAAGGTCCGTACTAGCTCGCCGCTATTGACTCGCTTTTGCTTTGTCGTTTCAAAAAAGAAAAAGGGAAAAAAAAGAATTGGGCGTTATATGTTGGGATATTGGGTTGTTTCCGAGCTAACCCGGGCTCGTCCCCTCCGTGCAGACTCCTACCGCAAGCGATGCGTCATCGACGACGAGCTCGCGCTTCTTGACGTCTTGGATACTGCGGGACAAGAGGAATATTCGGCGATGAGAGAACAGTACATGCGAACCGGCGAAGGCTTTTTACTAGTCTACTCCATCACGTCGAAGCAGAGTTTCGAGGAAATCACCCTATTCCAGCAACAGATACTAAGGGTGAAAGACAAGGATTATTTCCCCATGGTCGTTGTTGGGAACAAGTGCGATTTGGAGAGTGAACGAGAAGTCAGCAGGCAAGGTATGTTATCGACCTCGGCTGTCATTCCGCCTTCATCTTCGCGTTACCGTCCGCTCGCTCGTGGCCTCCGGACCCAGGTCCCAATCATGTACTAACCAGGCTTGTTTCTTTTCCGCTATAGACGGAGAGTCGCTAGCTAGGTCTTTCAACTGCAAATTCATCGAAACGTCGGCGAAGTCGAGGATCAATGTCGATAAGGCGTTTTACGACCTCGTGCGTGAAATCCGAAGGTACAACCGCGAGATGCAAGGATATTCGACCGGGAGCGGAGGAATCTCGGGCATCAACGGTCCACCCAAGCCTATGGACATTGACAACGGCGAGCAGGAGGCTGGCTGCTGCTCGAAGTGCGTACTTATGTAAAGGGTTATACGTCGACTGTTCCGCCATGCTACCGAGACTGGGAGACCAACGCAAATTAACGAGAAACCGGGCTGTGAATCGACGAGCGGGAATAATGAAGGGGAGGCGACTTACGGCTACAACATATGTTCCATGTTTGCGCATGTCAGGAGGTGCATATTTGGGCCTTCGTCGTCCAGGCGAGGGGGGGCCGAGGGCGGTGGAATGGCCCACAGAGACAGCCATTACTAGGCAAGGCATCATTGCTATATTTTCCTTTGTTTCTTTTTCACAAGCTTTTTCTCTTTTATTATTTTTATTATTTTGTTTTTATTTTTCTCTCCTTGGCAGCGGGCTTAGGCATACTTCAAAATCTCGGATTGGAGATACCAAAAATGACTACGTTTCAGACAACGTTCCACAAGTTTCTGTTGAAGTCTGCCTCTCTCTCCCATCTTCATCCATTGAGCTGTGACCTGCCCACTCACTGTCAAAGCGTTTGTCCCCTGAATAGGACCAGTATTTGAGCTTCGAGCTTACCAATTCTACACGACAGGAATGTGAATATGAATCATCTTAGAGCACAAGACAACATCCTAGCCATGGTGGTGAATAATGCTTCTATGCTAGGGCATACTATCCTTCGCCTTGTACAGACTCTTAAGTATCTGATAGATGGGTTCATGCTGGATCGATTTGAGGCGATTCTGTCAAAGCTGATATATATGTATTGCATATATCTCACCCAAGCCGATCAGCTAGGACTGGTGGGAGATTTTCAGTCATTCACTTCTCTCATTCGTCCCCGTTCATAGTCCAATTACCACTTTCTGACCTTTTTTGTTCCTATCCCTATTTCTCCTGCTATGGTCTGTAACCCAAAAAATGTAGTCGACTACATTTCTTTCACCCGGAGTCATGATATCTATTATCTATTCAATCTGTTCACCTTCTGTATAAGATTATATATACTACTCCTACAGATGGATGCTTACTCTCTATATTTGGAGCTATCTCTTTTCCAAGAGGCCCATTCGCACTCTGTCTCCAAACACACGGCCTGTCCAACCCCAACCCTCTTCTTTTCTTTACTCGTCTCCCGTTGGCTGCGACCGATATCACTAGCGAGACCGAAATCAGGTCCACGCGAGCACCGAGATTAACCCATGTCGAGATCTTCTCCCTCAGGGGTAGTCGATTTCGGCCAAAGCGGAAGCGAAAACGTAAGAGCCGTGGCGCTCTGGTAGCCCGGCGGAGCGTAATCTTTACCTTCATGAACCCACCACTGCTGATACTTCTCCTCCGTTGGTGGGATAAGCGTAGCCGTGTCGCCGGAATCAGGATCCTTTACCATCCCGCCGCACAGAAGACAACACCACATGAGGGGTTGGTCGCTTGTTGGCGGTGGCGGAGAATTCGGGTCCTCGGCTCCCGGTTCCTTCTGGCACATGGGGCAGATGTGCTTGCCAAAAGTCGTGAGTCTCCAACGCCGTATCAATTTCGCCTGCGAAATCATCCTCTGGACAAGAGACTGGCGATGGTAGAAGCAAAGCGTGGCTTCCATGAGTTTCTCCATGCAATTGCACCCCGTGATGGCTCTGGCTCCTTTCCCCTTCCAGCCTCCCCGTTGGATGCCCGATTCATCGACACATGCGGGATTGGTGCCCGGAGCCCCAGGATCCTCAATACCATAGACGTCGTATCCCGTTCCCTGCCATAATTCATGTTTTTCACTGTAGAGTCTGGCGCAGCCATGGCAAAAGTATGCTCGCATGAGGATGAGGTTGGCGGCGTTCTCAGTATATAAAGCGTCCCTTGTTCGCCCCTCAACATCTCCTGACCGCTCTTTCTCCCATATGAGCCCTTTGCTTCCCATGTCGCATGTCAGACACACCAAATGGGGTGCGTCGGCCGGGTGACGCAAGTTCTGGCATTTTCTCATCTCTTTCATCGAAGTACGACCCGTTCCGCCCTCTTCCGAGCAGTGGTGCTCGGTCCCCTCCGGGATCGGGTCGGGCGGCCTTCTGTCTCGAGGAATGTCTCTGAGGACATTATCAAAAGCTTGTTTCGTGGCCAAAATTTCATATGCGTCTTGACTCCCTGTTTCGAGGTACAAATTTACGGTACTCTCCCTCTCTGTTGCCCAGGCTTCCCCCTGACGGACCCATGGAATCGCGGGCTCTGGATCTCTCTGTTCCAGTTGCATAGACCCAGGGTCGACGCCCCGTTCCTTGACAAACAGAGTCCCCTCAAAACAGCGTGGGAATTCTCGCAGGAGACCATGGTCATCATCTAGGTGTGCCTCTGTGAGTACGTTGAAGAGTTGATCACCCTGTGGTACATCTTCCTGCCGGAGGCAATGTATGTCTTGCGGTTTCGGTGTAGCAAATACCCGCCCAGGGTGGTTGTAGGCAGGGTCTTCGATGCGCCCAAGAAATTGGTTCCACCCGGTGACTGTCTCATTTTTTTCCCCTGGATGATGGACATCCCCGCCCACCAGGTCAAGCAAGCGCTGCCGTTGCGCTCTTATGTCCTGTTCAGTTGGGAAATCTCCCTCCCTGTGGTTTTCTTCTTGCTGGGGTTGCCCGAGCTGTCCGTGCTGCTTGTGTTGCCCCATTGGCTCGTCCTCGTCGATATCCATCATTTGTCCAAGTCCTAGATCTGGCAGGTCTTCCCCTCCTCCAGCCGCTCCTCCAGCGACTTCAACTGCTCCTCCTCCAACTGCTCCTCCTCCAACTGCTCCTCCAACTGCTCCTCCAGCTGCTCCTCCAGCTGCTCCTCCAGCTACTCCTCCGGCTGCTCCCCCAGCCACTCCAACTGCTCCTCCAGCTACTCCTCCAGCTCCTCCTGCTCCTCCAGCCACTCCTGTTCCTCCTGTCCCTCCTGTTCCTCCTGTTCCTCCTGTTCCTCCTGTTCCTCCCGCTCCTCCTGCTCCTCCAACTGCTCCTCCAACTGCTCCTCCTCCAACTGCTCCTCCTCCTACTCCTCCAGCTGCTCCTCCTCCTCTAGCTCCTCCTCTAGCTCCTCCTCTAGCTCCTCTACCCCCTCTAGCACCTCTACCCCCTCTAGCTCCTCTACCCCCTCTAGCGCCACCTCCTCCTCTCGCACCACCACCTCCTCCTGCTCCTCCTCCTCCTGCTCCTCCTCCTCCCCCCCCAGGTCCTTGACTTCCTAAAATGAGGTTCCCGTTTATATCGTAGATATCGAAGGGATGTGCAAGCCGTTGTATCCGCTGCGACTGGCCTCCTCCCTGCGTAGGCACGGTCACCAAGGTGGGCGTGAAAGTATCATCCTCACGTCTCCAAAATAGCGAGTTTCCGCCAACGCCGGTCGTTACACAATGTTGCGCTTCGGTGGAAAATAGATAAGGTGGGATCCAGCCCCTACCAGGCAGTTGGTATACGCCCGGGTATGTCGCCTGGATCCACGCTTCTCGATTTCTAAGCCTCGTTATCATAGTATCGTGCTTGGCCTGAACTGGGGCGAAATTGTGGTTGATTGTCGCTGGCTTGGGGCCGACCATCAGTCGGGTTGGATCGTGCAGACAGCGATCGTTGTCATCAGCGCCATAGGGACCACATCCCATGGCCAAATAGTAGTTTACACTCCTGTCGCCGACGTGTCTGTCGGCCATGAAGGTACCAAAGCCCCATTGAAGCATCTCGGTCGGGAAGCCGGCAGGAGTAGTATAAGCTGGGTTGATGGATTCGCAGTCGTCCTGGGTGTTGTTTCTCTGGCAGGCGCCACAGGGGCGCTTATGCTCGCAGTGAAGGTTGGCATCGTTGCATGGCCGACACTTTTTGAATCCTCTGAACGGGTTGTCGCGAAGGCGTCCGGCGGTGGTGTGAAGATCCCAGAACGGCCAGATTATACGAGCATTCCCCACCACCGGCTGATCCGGGTTGTTATGATCTATCTCGGTGCAAATGATGGCGAGCGCTGCGCAGGTATGGCAAGCGTTTCTAGGCGAACCGGTATACGTATAGCATTCAGTATTTGTGAAGTAGCAAAGTTCACACGTTCTGCGACCGGTTATCCTCTCGTCGGCGGTAACGATAAAGGATAGCTTGGCGCCGTTTCCATTGCTATATCTGTCGCCTTTAACATCCGACTCTTCGGGGAGTTCTGGGTTTAAGTCTGTGATGAGTCCATTCGCGTTGCGAAGAGGGAGCAAACCGGCGAACGGAAGGGGGTTATCGTACTGATGATGAAGCGGCAGTTGTCTTCCATGCTGCCTCATGACTCGGTCTTCATGGGTCTGTGGCGTGTCCGGAGTCTCTGACCAGGTACTGCACAGGTGCAATGAAAGGTTGTTGTTGGCTGCGATCGTGGCGCATTCGACGCACCTGTGTCCCTGCCCGTACTCGACCGTGGATCGGACCCAAGAGCATATCCTCCCGGCTTTGACGCATGGTCTGCACATGATTCGGAAACCTCGATCCAACGCCCTGTGAAATTCCCGCTTATGGAGCCTAGGCGAGTTAAGTACGTGACAGGCTCTTTCTAGTGCGGCGCAGGCCGCACACTCGATGTGTAGCTCGCGGTCGACGTCGCAGACGCGGCCTTCCGCTGCGCACCAGTTGCACTGCCAGGCATCAAAGTTTTCAAATAGCCCATGGGCGTTTTCTAGCCTTTTCCTCTCCATGCCTTTTATACGTTCGGCACCATTTTCAACCACCTTGACGGCGCACCAGTGATCGAAGCGGTCAGGAAGCTTGTCGTGTCTGTAGCTTGAGCACGTGTCGCATTCTCTGGCGGCGGTGACATTGACGTTACAGTCTTGAAGTCCGGACTGTTGGCAGTGAAGGCACCTTGGGTCGGGATTGAGGCGAGGTCTCTTACCCCGAGGATCGCCGGGATCTCCATCATCACTTTCTTCGTCGTCATTGCGCTGCTGCCTCTTCCCAAGCGTTGTGCTCGTGTCTTGAAGTTGTGTCGCAGGGGTAGCGGATGACGTCGCTTCCGCCGACATGGTGCGAGCGGAGAAGAACGGCGCCGCTATGTTCAGACTTTGGATGTGTTATTCCGTCTTACTTTTCGCGGTTGGTGCCAAATCGCCTTGTTCCATGAGAAACTGGAAAGGCACCTCCATACCATTCTCTTGCTCCAGTCTCTGAACTAGATTATATGTCTTCATATCGGCCGTTAACCATTTCTACATCCCGGGTCTTCTTTGAAGGGCTCTGAAGAATGTGTCTTCCTTCGAATCCGGGGCGTCCAAGCCTGGATTTCCGGGCGTTGGAAATGGAGGTGTTGATAGTACTTTGTGTGTTATCATATGGAATGTCTGCCGGTTTCTACTCGACGAGCTCATTGCCTTTGTATTCAGAAACATTTGTCAGTTTTCTTCTGCTTTCTTTTCCATAAGCGATTTACATTATCCGGAAGCGGGCGAGTGATGGGAAGAAGAGACTGGAATGCGCCGCGGGACATCTTTGCTATGAGGCGCAAACAATGTATGGTCTTGCGGTTTTCTTAGACGTGCGCCTTTCATAACTGATAAAGAAAGACCTTTTTAAGAGGAACGCAAGAGAGGCATTCGAGACTCTATTTACTCTGCTGACGACTACGACTGTAACATTATGAATGGCGTGGGGACTTACAACGGCTTGAAATGAGTCGAGGGACTTGGCACACTCGCAAACATACATTTTATTCTTAGCCCAAGGTGTACCCTACGCTCAAAGTCAATACCAAAGAATGTCGGTCCAAACCCGAATCGAGAAAAGAGCCTTTAGAAAACAACCCAGTCCCTCCTTTGAGCCCTTGACCTCTACTTCCCAACGTCAGCGGTGCCCGAACGGAATCCAAGGTCACGAAGATCCGGCACGCTCAACCCCTCAAAATCTTCATAGCCTTGGCCAGATCCTCCCGCCTCCTCTTGAGCGTATCCCTCTGCGCCCGAGTCTTGTGCGAATCCCCAACAAGCATCTCGAGCTGGTCCGAGCTCAGACCGATGACCCATTCCTGGCTAAACACCTTGAGGGGTGTATCGTTGCCGTTCATGAGGCAGTAGTCGACGGCCTGCATGTAGAGATTGTCCAGAAACCTCTCGGCAGCGACCTTGTAGTATGATTCCAGAGCGTCGTGAATCTCGTCTTTGAAATGGTCGATGCTGGCCTTTTGATCGCTGAACTGGTCGATCGAGCTGAGGTCGATCGTGATCACGTTCTCGGAATGCGGCGACGCCCTACTTCTAGACCGGAGCGCCTCGCCCAGACGAATGGATCGGGCTTTGTTGACCTCGCTGCTATAGTCGTGGTTGAGCGTGTAAGGTTTCAGGTTCCGCTCGACATTTGTCAGAAATACTGCCTTTTCAAGACTGGCCTTGTAGCGTTCGATGACTTCATCGGCGAGGAAAGACCAGATCTCATCGTCCAATCCACTAGGGCACAGGAGATTGAGGGCGCGGCGGATGAAGGCGTGGATGGCTCCGATGCAGTCGCTGACGTAGGCCTTGGCAAAGTCCTCCCAGCGGCTAGACTGCTCCTTGAAAGCACTGCAGAGGATGGAGCCTCCAAAAGAGCAGAGCTCAGGACCGCGGTTACGCTTGTAGATGTCTTTGATCCAGTCCTCAATACCGATCTGAGGGTTGTTGAAATCGGGAAGAGAGTGGAGAAAATCGGACAGGCCATCGTCTTCGAGGAAAGACGAAGCGTTTGTATCTTCAGAACTGTTGGAGATAACACTGAAGTCACTGCCGATGACTCCATTTAAATCCTGGGGAATCATAGCCGCCACAAGCGAAGCACTACTTTCCTTGACGTCCTCCAGTTTTGTCTGATTCTTTTTCGTCGCAAACTTCCACTCGTGGCCCTTTTCACCAAATTCGGTGACGAGATCGTCGGCCCGATTAACAATGATCGTGCTCAGCCTCAACTCCGGGTTCTTGTCGAAAGCATCGTCCTGGACATAGTGTCCCATGACGGCCGAGGTGAGAAGCGTCTGGAACTTGCCGGCAATCGAGCTCAAATAGGTCCTCTGTTCTGTTTCGGTCTCACGAGGTGATCCGAGAGCACCGAGATCGTGCTCGTTCTTTCTCTGCAGCTCGATAACCTCCTGACGGAGTGGGATAAACTCTCGCTTAGTGATTTCGCTCAGAAGCTGCGTCAGCTGAGCCTTGAGGGCCGCGATACCAACACGCTCTCTAGGCAGCGTGTTCCAGGGAGCTTCATTGAACATGAGCTCCCGCTGTTCAGGAGTCTTATATACATCGTCATCATCGGCCCCGCGGTTGCAAACAACGTAGTAACCGAGGGTGAGGGGCTTTTTCTTGCCCAGAACGAGGTTGCAGACGACGTTCTTTCCGCTACGCTCCTTGACGATGTCAGGCTTGGTCAGAACACCGAGAGTGCGCTCGCCCTTGGGGTCGTGATCCTCGGCGAGGGAGAGGATTTCTTGTGTGGCAATATCGACGTTGCTGGGGAGGACAGCAAGAATGATGGTGCGGCGATCTTTGATGTAGTTCTCTACCATTTTGCGGACCATTTCTATGTCGCTTTTAGTGGTAACGCCCTGAGGGTTTCGGAAGATGCCGGGAACATCGATGATCGTAAGATAGTCCTCCTTGGGGCTACGGATTTCAATTTTGAGAACATCATCAGTGAACACCGTGCCAGTAGAGTTGCTCTCATTGTTGATGTCAGTCCGAATTCCGAGACAAGCGTTGACCTGAACCAATGTTAGATACTCGTCAACATGTATTCAGGCTCGTTCTTCTGAAATAAGGACGGTGGGGGCATACCTCTCTCAAAAGCTCAGGGAACTTGGCGCGAAACTCTTCAGGAGTCAGAGAGGGACGCTTGAACTCGGCAAGTTTCTTCTTCCGCTCGATAGTAGCACTAGGACCCGGAAGCAGGCTAATATCGACACGAGACTCATCGTCCCTGCGAGAGGTGATCTGGGTAGCGTAGCGAGTGCAGAGCTCAGCGTCGGTTGGGAAGGGAATGTTGGTCAGGGACTCGAGAAGAGAGGATTTTCCCGAGCTCTGGTCTCCGACGACAACCATCTATGTCACAGAATCAGCAGTGTAATTCAGGGGTCCCGGGGGACAGGGGATCTTCTCTCAGAGGAGCAAAAGGGGACGAACCTGGGGGAGGGGGACCATAGAGCCAACGTTGAGCTCTCGAAGCTGGTCAATCTTCGAGAGAAGAGCTGCACTTCCAATCAAGTCCGACATGGTGGCGTCCTGTCGATGAATGATGGGAAGGGTCCGTATTACTTTAGGAAGCAATGAGACCTGCTTCCTGGATAGCTCCTGGCTTTGTGGCAAAGGGGTATTTAGAGAGAGGAATATGGAAGTCTAGTTTGGACTTGGAGAGAAAACAAGCAGGTGGGAAACCTCGTCTTCGAGGTGAGAACTTTCCAACTTTTTATACTCGTCAATTCTCGGAAGGAAGAACCCATCTACCTAACTCACTGCTGGGCCTCCATCTCCCCTTCCCATAACCTTGAATTTTCTAGTGAAACAGACTGCGTTTGGTTCCGAATCCTCAAAAGCCAACCGTTGGTCTACTGCAAGAAGGACGCTGAGTCTCACACCCTCTCGAAGGCTCTCCCCAATGCAACCAACCTTGACGGCATCCAGAGAGGCCCAACCAGGGCCATCACAAATGGCGAATTTACACTTCATGCTTGGAAAATTTCCTCATTAACCTGTGGGTATCCGACGTTGGAGGTGCTGGTGATGTTAGTTCACGCTGTGGCGATGAGAATCCCACGGCCTAGCAAACGACCCAGGGGCTGTTATCCCGGGCTAATCCCCAAGAAAGGGCCTCCAATGCGTCTGATATGGATTAATTATGGTTCATCTGTCCATTTGTTCATCTGATATCAATAAAAAGCTGTAGAACCCAATCTTGTCAGATTGACTGATAGGGAGACTTGTGCTCGACTTTCAGTTACCCCTTTCTCAAACATCATGATTAAAAATTATCAAGCATCAATTGATAGTCTTTTTTTCTGATGCCCACCCTTTCCGTGTCCCGTGTTGGCCGCCGACATGCAGGCTGCCACAATCGCTGGGCCTCTGTCAGAGGAAGTCGGCCTGGTTGGCTGGCCTTCCAACACCCATTGAGAAATGGATTATCTCCAGCCATACAAAGGGAAGAACAGAAGGGTGCCTCCGGCTATGTCTCGCAGTTGGTCGTAATTCGAAGGCATCCTTGGCCCATCCCAGTGTTGCACAGCCTCGGGCGTCGCGTCCTGTCCTGTCCTTTCTCCGAGCCCTGCTGCGCCCTTCCAAGCGCATTGGCGATCGGATAGGGTCGATCCAATCTAGAATGGGAAAAAGAAGAAAAGCGAGAATAATAAAAATAAAATGAAAGAAAAGTTAACAACTTTGATGTAGCGTAACTGACTGGTTCTTATCGAGTGTCAAAGTACCGGCCCCACGCAACCGCCTGACGGCTGCGGCCCCCGCCCAACACATTGTGGGGCCGGGCCGGTTGGAGGGAGACCCAGCTCCGGGCTTATCCGGGGAGTGACAACTAAGAACCTAAAAAAAATGGCGACGAAAATAGCTTCACTCGTCATGCGAGGAGCAACTTGACGCATTAGTAAAATTCTTATTTAAAGGAGTGTGTATCTGGGTATCTAATCCACCTCAAAAATAGAAGAGAGAGAGAGAAAAATCATCGCAAGCAGTGCCATTGCGTCATTCCAGACATCAAATGGAGAGAAATAACAAACATTAACCCTTACGTCCTTGTGAGATCGGACTCATTTCACCCTTTTCCAATTCCAATTCCAATACGTATTACCATAGGAGATTAAAATGCCAGAACAATCATTCCAGAAACCCAATATAGAATCCAACTCATAATATGAAATGAAACAAAGGAGATGATGCTCGGCGTCAATGCCAGAGCTTTTGAACATGGCAAAGAATGGAACTGTGGTTACCAGTTCCACCTAAACAAAGAAGAAGATGAGTCCGCTAATGACGGGCAAGATGAACGAGACGAGCCCAGGCACGAGTGAAACTCCCAGCGCTTGAGTCACTGTGGGCGGGGTTGCTGTGCCGCCGACACCATCCGTGCCGGTTCTCGTACTGACAGTGGTGCCGGTGCCAGCGCTAGGCTCAGCACTGCCGGAGGGTTCGCCCGGGGCAGAAGTGGCCCCCGATTCACCAGGAGATATAGCATCAGCGGTCGTAACACCCGTAACCTCACTTCCCGACGTGGCAGTAGGCGCAGGCCCAGCTTCACTTCCACCACCTTGGCTCGGGCTCGGGCTCGCACCGCCACCACCCGAGCTAGGCGTGATAGGCACAGGGGCAGTATTCGTGTTAATCTGATCCTGCGTCCTCGTATCAACATCCGGCTGCGACCCCGTAACAATCGGCTCCGGCCCGGCGGGACTACTCGACTGAATCGGCGTGCCGGCGTCGCCCTCGCAGTAATTGATAAACTGCTTAAACTTGTCGTCCAAGTACGTGCGGCCCGAGTCCTTCACGCCGCCGGAGTTGTCCTCGACGCAAGCGTTGCAGGTGGCTAGCTCGAGGCGGAATTGCGATCCTTGCCTACAGAGAGCGTCTGTTTTGCCCGTCTTAGTGGATTCTAGGTAGGCGTTGTTGCAGTCGGCGAAGCAGACTTCGGGATAAATGGTGCCGTCGCGCTTGACGAGGCTTCGGCGGATATAGTGCGGGTGCTCTTTAGAGTAAGATGTGGGTGGGGAAGTCTCTTGCGGGGGCGGGTAGTGCGTGATGGTGGATTGGGACTCGTAGTTGCCCGTGGTTATGGTGGTCTTCTTGCCGTGGATCTTGGTGACGATGACCTCGGGGGGCTCGAAGATGTCAAAGGAGAGACCGAAGGCTCGGGGGTCGAGGTTGAAGTATCCGTCCGTCGGCGGGTACCAGTCCGTGTCGTTCTCGGGCCAATGCACCTTGTTGACGGGCGGGGCGGGGATACAGTATTGAGGCTCGCAGACGAAGTTGTCTGCTGGGGAGTCAGCCCAGAGGTTACAGCCACCGGGCTTGGGCGGGCTGCAGATGTAACCTGGTCGACAGCCCCAGGTGAGATCCGAGTGGCGGTCGAGTTCGGCGGGTGGAGGACTGCCGGGGCTCGCTAGGTTAGTCGGGGCCGGACAAACTGATGCTTCGGTGATGGTCAGCGTGGTGGGCCCGGCTCCGGGGAGAGTGACTGTTGGGCCAGGGACGGTCACCGTCGGTCCTGGCGGGCCCGGTTGAGTGACGGTAACGGGGACAGAGGAAATAACCGTGGTGACGACTGTGGAGAGCTCCGTGGTAATGACAGTCGTGATGACGGTTTCTCCAATGGTTATGGTGACGGGGTATGAGGTCGGGATAGTGAGCGTCTCGATAACAGTGGTAGGCACGAAGAATGTTGTGGGGACCTCGACAGTCGTGGGCTTGTCGACCGTGACGGATCTCTCCACGGTAACGGGGTAAGATGAGACCTCGACCACAATTCTCTCCGTTGTGATGGTCGAGTATAGAGTGGTAGAGTCCACCACGATGTAAGGGATACTCGTGGTGATGGTCTCGGTCGAATACTGGGTAGTAGGTATGAAAATCGATGTGGGCTCTTTCACCGTGACAGGATAAGACGAAACTTCGGTAAGAACCTCCGTGGTGGTGATGGTCGAGTACAAAGTCGTCGAGTCTACTACAGTGTAAGGGATGCTCGTCGTGATGGTCTTGGTGGAATACTCAGTCGTCGACCAATAATCAGTGGTAGGTACCAGAACCGTCGTCGGCTCTACGATAGTAGTCGGCTTTTCCACCGTGACGGGATAAGAGGAGACTTGAGTAAGAACCTCTGTCGTGGTGAGGGTCGAGTAAAGCGTAGTCGAATCCACTACGGTATACGGGATGCTGGTCGTAATCGTCAGGGTAGAATACTCAGTCGTCGACCAAAACTCGGTGGTAGGAACCACGACCGTCGCCGTCGCCGTCTTCGAGTCCACGACGGTCTGCGTGTTCGTCACGGTATTGTGGAGGGTCTCTGTTACCGTACGGCAGTACTCATCGTCTTCGACAGTAAATTCACTGATTTCAGCGAGATAGTAGGCATAGGCCGTGGCAGAAGGTATACAGCTCTTGTAAGACGTGACGGTATATGGCACCGACTAAAAATCTCAAGTTAGTGAGACGCCAGAGGAGAGAGATTGAAAAAGAGGAACGGAGATCCCCTCAAAAGAGAACCAAAATCGCGTACCTTGGTGACTTCGACTGTAGAGTAGCGATCGCTTCCAACAGTGACGGTGTCATGGACGGTTGTCGGCACTACTGAGGCGGCATACTCAGTTGTAGTTACGGTGTACGTAACTATTTGAGAGACCGTCGTTGTTGTGCTGGAAGCTCTGGTTGTCAGCTAGGAAAGCTCGGAAGATTTATAAATCCAAATAAATAATTCAAAATAAACCAAAAACTCACGTAGAAACCTGTGGAGGATGGCCGCCGTGACCCCCACCGCCGCAGAGCTTGTCGCACGCTTTACAGATGTACGGCAAGCCAAGCGACAGATCTATTCCCACAATCCCACCCACCTCAACGCTACCTTCGACACCAATGCCTGTGTCTGTCGATCCGACATCCAAAGTGATATTAACGGGCTCGGTGCGCTGGAGTAGCGGTCTTCTGTCATCTTCGAAATCGGGTTCGGCGGTGGCGGTGGCGACCGTTAATAACCCGGCGAGGGCTCCGAAAGCCGCCCAGGCCCGGGGACGCGGCATCCCGAAGTTGACGCCCGTGTGGGGGACGGCTAGCGACAGACAAAGAACAAGCCTGTTAAAAAGCGAAAGAACAAAAAAAGAATGTAGGAACACTCGGAAGACCTAGAGACCGAAGCGAGGAAGAAACAATGCCACACACTTAAAACGAGTGAGTGAAAGAGCGTGGAGAGAGTATGTTGGCAACCGCGGAGGAGGAGGAGGAGGGCGGTGTGCGTCTGCGCGATGCGTATTATTTATTACAGCTGGAGCTATCCTTTCCGAGAACTGCAAGGCAAAGAACTACGTTGGGCAAAAGCTTGGATATGTATACTACGTGTGCCTGAGGATTATTTTGGGGAAGGGGGAGTGCAAGAAGAAAAAAAAAAGCCTAGAGCGGAGCTGAGCATTCTCAAGCTGGCGATTGGTTGGAGTTCCCTTTTTTGGGGTGTGCTCGTTCGGACAGCTCGAGCCGGCGTCGGTCAGTTGGGTACTTCGTACGTGAGAAGGTATAATAATAAGTACGAAGTATACGTGAGCATACGTTGAGGAATATGAAGATCTACAGAAGGATTGTGTGTGTTTGCATTGTGCTTGCATGTACTAGTTTACCAAAGGGCGGAAGAGGGGGAGTCTGGGAGAGAGGCAGCCTGGGCGTGGGGAAAAAAGAGGGAACGAGAAGGCAAAAAAAGCGCAGGCTGGTACGGTCGAGCTAACGGAGGATGCAGCCACCGATGTTGACATCGGGAATGCTTCATTGGATGTGCTCCGGCCTGCAGCTCCAAGTACTTGGCAGTGGGATGCAGACGACGTTGATGCGGTCCAGGGTCAGACATGCGGGTTCCGAGGGATGTCATGGATGCCGGGAAGTCGTCTGAGGGTATTAATTCTGCTCGCTTATAGACGTGAGTGTGTATGAGTGAGGCCGTCTTCGGGTATTGTCGACTGACCGTTTCGACGGGCTTGCAAGTCAGGAGCTGGCAATGACACTTGATGACGGTAATGACGGTGATGATGGCGATGATGTTGATGATGATGATGATGCCGTGCCAGTCCAAGGGCCCCCAGCATGCCCCGTTTAGGCTACTTCTGCTTGATACGATCTCGTGGCGGTTGACTCTCCCTTCGTATCCAGGGGCAAGAAAAAAGTTTGTCCAAGATATCCTCGATCTGTCAATTGATCTATTGTCCTCTACTTCGTACTTCGTAGGTATTGTTGGATGCACCTTGTAAATGAGGTCGAAGCAAGGATATCGGCAGAGATTGGATCGACAAGGGTCGTGGAATGGCTCGCATTCGGCCCAACCTCTCCAACATGACATCTTGTCTGATCTGATGCTACGTTAAAGATGATCATGTTCATCCGTCCGAGTCCAAGCACTCCATGGCCCTTCTGAATTGGAAAGGTTACATCGAGTGCGGCCGACAAGGATACCGTATCGAGGTAAGCACGCAGTTGAAGATAAGTTTACTAGTTTACAAGTCGAGCGATATAGACGGAGCGGGCAGGCGGTCAACCCGTCATCAACCCGGGCTTTCGAATAGGATTCCTCGAATCTCATCACACACTTTATCAGTTTTCCTGGGTCTGGGTCTTCTTTCTCGGCTTTCGATGTTCAGTCCCCCGCATTACCGGCTTGCGTCACCCACCATCGTGCGATGCCATGCCCCGACGAGTTTGTCACTGCAACTCTGCGATGTGCACTTTTGAGGTCGTCGATGCATCGAGGAATAAGTAATACTGGAAATGTAGAAATACCGGAAAGACTGAAAACCCACTCCAGAGTGAAAGTCCAACAGTATCAATCTACTTCGTACATGTCCGCTGCCTGTTCCCGTCCCACGAACGGATTTCCTGGTTTTACCGTAGACGTAACAACGGTGATAATAATATAAAAATAATCGTAATAATATACACGACTTCGACTTCGTACAGTCCCCGCTTCGGAGAAGATATTTTTGGATTATAGTAGTTTACAGTTATTCCCCCTTGGAACGATTGCCGTGCTCCGTTCTCCGTTCTCCGTTCCCCTCTCCTCTCCCCTGCTCTCCTCTCTTGCGTGCCACTGCAACCCCAAAATCCGAGAGCAGGACTGAGATTCCCGATCCAGTCATACAAACATTCATGCTTGTTCAATCCTCGGCAATCCAATATATCCGCCCGGCTTGCACCAGGCCGCCTCCTCTCTCTCTCTCAACCCTCCTCTCAAGCATCCGGCCCCGCTTGTTCGATCAGACCATGGGTCTTCGCAGCCACTGATCAGGTGAGAGTCGAGAGTCGAGACTAGGGAATCTCGATCATTTAAGGCTGCAGTTGCATTGCAAACATCTCGTCTTGCTCCCTTCGCAGGCTACGAGACCACAATAAGGGGAAATTAATATTGGTCTATTCATTCCTCAACCTGGACTTGGACACGCACACGTTTGCTCTCTCCAACAGCTTCGTAGTGCAGTATCTAAATATCCGACACCGCTTGGGCCAGGCCAGACCTTTTGAGCAACCTCAACTGACTCAATCCTCGCCGTCGTCTGCCCCAAGTTAAAGAAACACCGACTAATAAGATAGCATCGCCAGAACCGGCCGATGCGCCCCGTGTTAGTGTCGCTAGATAAATTGTAAATTCCCAAGCCCGCATGGCTTGCAATCCGGGCGCCTCGGGGGGAGTGGGCGATGCCCAACTTCGACGCAATCTTCTCTCATATTTTTCCCTTTTAGTCCCTTCAACATGAGAAAAGCCTTGAGGGCTTCCACTTTTTCCCTGGATGCTCCGTCCATCGCCGGAGTCAGATTCGAGTTATTGAGGAGGGGTTGGGAGAAATGCCCCAACGGTGACAATGCTTTGGAGACGCAGCCTGACCAGCCATGCCGCCCACGCCATGTGTGTGCCATCATCACCAGGGTATGATTGGCCTCATCCGACAGGGATCTCTACCTTAACCATCCTCCTCCGCTTCTTACTTCTTTCTTCTTCTTGCTGGCAGCCTGGCACTGGGCCGTTGAATGACAACACATCACCCCTCGCTCGTCAACCAACAGAAACCCCCGAATCCATATTGATTGAACCCTCAGCTCGTCCGCCAAAGAGCGGGGTTCCGTCATCTCGGGTCGATTCGACTCTACACTAAACCACTTCGCACTTTGCTTCTGCCGTCTCCCGCCTTACCCTGTGTGCTCACTACCTCCCACCTCCCACCTCCCACCTCTCGCTTCTCGCCTCACCTCGTACACCCAATTTGCTTCGTCATTCTTTCTGCACTTTTCACTTCGGTATTCCTAAGAGAATGGTGTCAGGCTCGTCTGAGTGCCGCCGACTGCGACTGCGGCTGACGCTCCGACGCCTCGTATTGGCGTCCTCCCTTCCCTCTACACCATCCTTTTTTTCGACTAGTACTTGTAAATGCCCTTCCTCCCAGATCCGGCACGTAAACTCTGTAGGGTCCCTGTCCAACTCCGACCGGGAGGAATGTCCAAAAGTGGGACTCGTTAGCCCTGTTCGGAGTACTGATATGCACCCACCATGCTTGCATGCTCACGCACCAGTGCTACTTCATAGCTCTCTTTCGTAGCCGCCGAGAAACAAAGATCCCACGCACTCCGCCCATCCCTTCGTCACCCCCTCACTCCCCCCCGTTTCCCCCCTCCCCCCTCCCTTCATGAGGATGACCGTTGGTTGCTCTTGTACATGTCGTAGGGCCTGGTCGATTCGATCCGTGACAAGCTTGGCATACTCGCGCTGCTAGCCCAGAATGGTATGAACTACGATTTATGCTCAGCCTTATAGCAGCACTTTGGGTTTTATGCTCTTTTCCCACACACCCTCCTTGTCCATTCGGTGGATTGGTTTTCTTTACCCGGACTCATATTATTAGTTGCTGGTTTTATCGTCATGCCATGTGGCAAAGCCGACTGCCAGGGTAAGAAATTCCTTTCTCGACTTTCGTTGCTCAGAAGCGTGGACTCGAGAAAGGACGAGACTGGTGGACGTGCGTCTTTGGGTATCATTCCAATGATTCCCCGCGTGTCTCTGTGTCCCACGTTTTGATGTGCCGTCTGTTCTTCGTCCATTTCGACCCACGTTGACGCTATCGATCGTTGCCACGGCGGTTTGCCCGGCCTTCTGTAATATTCTCATACTTTTTTTTTTTTTTCCCCTTTTGCCGACTCGTCGGGTTCTGGAGTTGCCCCTCCGCCGTTTTGGGACCCGGAAATTACACCGCCAAAAAACAATGCTACTTCGGCATTTGTGGGTATCGGTCCTTGGCCTCTTGGCCGACCCGGTCCGGGGTCAGTATTCCGGATGGGACGAGGGCCAGGTTAACAGCTCCATGTGCATATGGAGACTACCTCGCGGTAAGACTTTGAGAATGAAATTCGGTTGAAAATTGACCCCTATAATGGACTGCCCATTGACTTTTCGAGCATCAAGTGATTACGCTGAGAGACACCGTCTATCTCGATGGAGGTAGTATAATGTGGTTCCAGGGGATGGACACAGGCGAATACAAAAGAATAGAAGATGGTGAGCACATATACTTGAATCCCAAAAGCTTCGCCATCTCCGGCTTCAATGCTAACCACCAAACGAATCGGTCCTGTCATCACAGACAACCCCAAAGGCCTCGTCCTCACCCTAAACCTCACACAACCCTTCAGCCTCTCCCAAAACCTCACCCAACTCTTCAACACCCTCCCCAAAGCTTCCACATCCGCCTCCACCCCCAACTACGTCGACGGCGACCTCCTCGGCAACGACGCCCAATTCTTCACATACGGCGGGCTCACCACCAAATCCGATGCCTTCCCGGACCCGGACGCTGATGACGTCCTCGAGTACCAGGCCTACCCTTACAACAGCAACGACGCTCCCTCCTTCACCGCAGGATTCATCAATGAGAAGCTCCCCGATGATGTGACGAGGTATCTTGCCTACGGTGCGGGCGTGAGCGCGCCGTCGGAAAACAAGGCGTGGTACTTCTCCGGGCTACGCTCACCTTCCTCGGGTGTCATATATGGGTCATTCTCTATTGAGGCGGCTGTTCCTAGTAACATCTCGGATACGTTGGTTACTTTGACGTTTGATCACCAGGCGCAGAATATCGAAAAGTGGGAGAATACTACGCTGCCTGACTCAGTGGCCGGGAGAGCGAGTGCGTCGGGAGTGTTTGTGCCTGTTGGGAAGAATGGTATTTTGGTTTTTGTTGGAGGCGTCACGTTTCCCGAGTTTGCTTCGAGGAGGCACAAGTCTGAGAATCCGGCTGCACTGGTATGTTAAACTGAGTGTTTTTTTTTTTTCTCTCCTTCCCTCCCTCTTCCTTCCATGCCGGCGTGTCAAAGCTATGGGGATTAAACCACGAGGACGACTAACACTCATGTTCTCGATGCCAGACTTCTGAGAGCCAAGCTTTCATCAAAACTATCGACATCTACGACATCGGAAGCAACAAATGGTACAAACAAGAAACCTCCTCCTCACAAATCCCCCCAGTAACGGCCCAAGGCTGCGCCGTCGTCCAAAAAGCCAAAGACCTCTCCAGCTTCAACATCTACTACTACGGTGGCTACACGGCCGAAGACCAAGTGAACAACTTCAGCGACGACGTCTGGATCCTCTCCCTCCCCAGCTTCAAATGGATCAAGGCCAAGGCGGGCACGGAAGCCCACGCCCGCGCCGGCCATAGATGCGTCGCTCCGTATCCGGACCAGATGATGGTTTTCGGGGGGTTCACGCCGAAGCCTGGCACAGCGAGGGATTGCCTCCAGGGCGGCGTTATCCAGCTGTTTAACTTGACGAGCTTGGAGTGGTTGGACTCGTATAGTCCGGCGACCTTTGGGGAGTACGGAGTCCCTGAGGTGGTGCAGAAGGAGATTGGGGGAAACTTCCAGGGCGGAGCCACTGCCAAGAGTCCTGCTGCGTCCGGAGGCTGGGGAGACGAAGGCCTCAAGAGTCTCTTTGAGACTGCTTACCCTACTGAGCGGATCAAGACTTGGTATCCGTACGCGCTTGTCGAGCCGTCGTCGCGGCCGGGTGTCGGCATAGGAGACGGTAGTGGCGGCGGCAAGCGCGGGGGTGGGCTGCCGGGATGGGTGGCCCCTACCCTCGGAGCTGTTCTTGGGTTGATAGCCGTGGTTGTTGTTGCTATTGGCATTATCATTTGGAGGAGGCGTAAGATTCTTCGGGCTGGGTCGAGATCTGGATCGGTGGTTGGGTCGGGAAAAAAATGGTATGGGTTTGAGAAGTACCGGAGGCCTTCATAAGTGAGCATGTATTTGTTGTTGGAGTTACGAAATGATTTATGACTTAGTTGGTATAATACCCTTTTCCAAATTGAAATCCATTTTCCTCTGAATCAGAGTATCATCTCGCTTTAACATCCCGCTATATCCTCCCGTAACCTTCGGCGCTTAGTGGAAGAGTTCAATGTTGTTGATCATGGTGTTTCTTCTTTCCATACACATACATCAGATATGCTAAACCCCATTTTATGAGACCATCTACAACCGCGTCTCCTTCAAGCCAGTGCCATCTAGTCAAGCAGACGCAGCCGCCTTCTGACTCAAAACCTCCTTCACAACTTTGATAACATCCGCATGTACAGCAGCAGGCGCCGCAACAACACCCTTATTCTCAGCAAGCGTCCTGCCAATGCCAAAGTTCAAAGGCTTCCCCTGCACATCAGTGACCTCTCCTCCCGCCTCCCTAACAATGAGATATCCCGCCGCATGATCCCAAATCTTCTCCTGGTAGGTCGCGCTCACAGGCAACCTCAAGTAGATATCACCAGCACCGCGCGCAATACTAGCATACTTCGCCTGGCTATCCATGCGCACGCTGGGCGCCGTGATGCCGAGCTCCTGCGAAATGAGGGCCTGCTCGTCATGCGCCGAGTGTCCCGCCTCGACCGACTCGCAGAAACTCGCCTTCGACATGTCCGCCAGGGGACGCATGGAGATGGATTTGCCCTCGGCGAGCGCTCCGGTCCCTAGCGGGTGGGAGGTCGCGCCGCGGCCCTTGACGGCGGAGAAGATGACGCCGTGGCCGGAATCGGTCTGGTTGAAGCCAATGTCGGCCGTGAGCGGGGCGCTGTCGTCGACGGGGAGGTTAGGGCAGCCGAGGACGCCGACTTGGACCTCTCCGTCGACCATGAGGCCGAGACAGACGGCATACTGGCCGCCGCGGAGGAAGCCCTTGGTGCCGTCGATGGGGTCAATACACCAGATCCTACCCTTGGCGCCTCCTTTACTACCGCCCAGATCAATAAACCGCAACATGTCGTCCTCGGACTTGATAGGGCCCCCAATCACGTCCTCGGCCTTGTCATCATCGAGCTTCGTCCCCTTGACGAAGTCCCAAATCTGGGCCCTCAGCGCCGCATTGTCGCGCAGGAGGCTGGACTCCTCCTCGGCGACGATCTCGTCGTCGGGGAAGTTGGCGTGGAGGGCGGAGATGATGAGGGCTTGGGCGCCGAAGTCGCCGATTGTCACGGGGGACTTGTCGGATTTGTCGACGGAGCCTTTGGCTTTTTGGTGGAAGACTTGTTTGGTGAGGATGGTGGCGCGCTGGACGGCGAGTTGGGCGACGAGGAGCTCTTTGGCGAAGTCGGCCATGGTGGAGGTGGGGTGGAGCGGGAGGATGGACTGGGATTGGAGTTGGGAGAGGGACTTCGAATTGGACCGGGACTGAGGATGAGAGAAATGGAGTACGGGAGGAGGTCTGTAAGATGTTTTGGCGGAACACCGTGGGGAAGGTCGATATTTAGTTGACGTTGAGGTAAAACTTGCCCCGCGGCGGGGTACGGCAAGAAATACTTGTGCCTGAGTTTGGGTTCGCGGCGCAATTGAGACTCGAACAACTCCAGAAACGAGGGTCATTGACGAACCCAATCGACTGGGCATTGACATTGGTCGCTTGGAACATCCATATCCAGGGGAAGATGGGGAGGACCGGTCAACCTCCCCGTCTGCCAATCTGGATAATGCCCATGTCGGCCCCCCACAGCACTTGCAACCAATTTATTCTGTAGCGATGTGCGGAACGAAAGAAGACGAGAGATTTGATGACGACAACTGAAGACAGGCAGAATTAATAATCGTTTCAATTTGATCTGTTCTGTTTCCAAACGGAACATTGAAGCTCTTATTTGGCACTCATTGTCCCGTCTCGAGCTGAATTAAACATAATTGATGATTACAATTACCCTTTTGTGATCAATTGATCAATGTCTCTGCTCATCCCAACAAGTTGACAACAGCATTCGTCCGAAAGATCGCGTCTACAAAGGTACTACAAAATACCTCAACAAGCTGGCAATCTCAAAAGTAACCCTCAGTGAGCCCTTGAAGGAAAGAGCAGAAAAATTGTTACATGCTCTTCCTACAGAGGCTCATCGTTTCAACAAGACTCGCGATGAAGGATAGAAATCAAGTTAGACTCCCTCTCCACTACGAGCTTCCATTTCCAAAATCATCGTCAAATGAAAAGTTGAAATTGGCTCTAGTTTTATTTATATATATGGAGATAGAGACACATATGACCTGTGCTACCAGGAAAACCCAAATGCACCCCTCTCTAAATCGCTAAAAACAACAAAAAACGAACCACAAGTATATACAAAATGTCGCTCCCGCCTCGCCAAGCCACCTTCCATCATATCTTCATCGCCATAGTCTCCTCCATCTCCTTCCTCATAATCTCATTAAACTCATCGGCGTTATCGAGGTAAAGGTGGTGTCCCGCCTTCGACACCACCAGGACGCTCGCACGTCCGTTTTCTCTCCTCTTCTCCTCGTCCGTGCCGTGGAGCAGCGCCTTGATCCTGGCCTCCTTGAGCTTCTGCTCGGCCGCGAACCCACCCGCCACATCCATCCAGTCGTTCTCACCATAAAGCATGATGATGGGGATGCCGGTCTCGCGGATGATCTCCGTTTCCGTCTGCGATATTACCATGCGACCAACCATGTGGATTTTGTTGACGACGGGGTCGCGCGCGTACGCGCCGGGAGCGAGGAGGTGGGGGAGGGCATACTCGCCGCTTCCCCTTTGGCGGAAGATGGAAAACGTATAGTCGTGGAGGGCCTGCGCCTCCTCAGGTGGTAGGTGGTTGAATCGGCGGGAAGACCAACCAGATACGAATCGTGGTCCTAGCGGCCCGGTCATTCGTACAAGGGTGAACGGTGAGAAGTTGGCGTCCCAGAGCCAGACAAACCACGGCGGAAGCTTTCGAGCCGGAGCGTTTGTTGTTGTAGATGTTTGAGAAGCTACACTGGGAGCTCTCTTGTTGTCGGACTGGCTAATCTTGGCGTGGCCTTGCGTAACGGTTTCTTGATCTTCAGTAAACTCGGAAGCCATCGTCGACTCGCTAGGCTCGGGTAGCTTCTCGCTAACGGCGTAAGGATTTTCGGGGATACCGGCCGGCGAGGCTAGGATTAGCTTCTTTAGGCGGCCGGGGTATTTTAACGCATACGCGACCGCGAGGTAACCGCCGAGGGAATGGCCCATCAGCGTGAACCTTTCGATCTTACGTTGTATCCTCCACTCCTCCAACGCGTCGATAAACCAGGATTCTGCCTCTGTAACCCTTTCTTTAGGATCGGATGCACGAATCTTGAAAGGAGGTCGGGCCTATGTGAAAAGGGTTAGTGAATCGATGCCCCTCTGAGGGCTTGCACTCCCTCCTCGCCACCCCCGCACCCAAAAGAAGGAAAAGGGAGAGAAAAGGGTAACATACAGAGTTGCCCATGCCGAGCAAATCAAGGGAGTATAGCCTCCACCCAGGTATCCGGGTCAAGGGCTCGTAGTTCTTGTAGAAAAATCCAAGCCCCGCTCCGTAACCATGGACCATTACCAACGTTTCCTTGACCTCCTCGCCCACACGCTCGACCGAGTACTCGTTCAACGCCCTATTCTTGCCCGACAGCTGAACTAGTTCCGTCTTCCACACTCGTGTTCCGAAGGGGTCGAATATATCTCCGTTTCCGGCGCCGGTGGCGAAGAATTCCGAGGCTTCTCGAAGGTAGGGGATGAAGGAGAGGACGTTTCGTTCGGCAGCGAGCGGGGTCGTACTATTCCACTGTTACATGAAGTGGGAGATTAGTCTTTGTTGGGCTTCGAATCTCCGGCCAACAGTAAATTGCGCGCTCAAGTCGAGGGAAACCAACCCATTGATATGCCGCGTCCTTGTATCCCATCGGGAAGAGGGGTCCTATGGCGGACCGCCGAGTTCCAACTGGGGGGCCCGGTTGTTCGGGGGCGACCTGCGATTCCGAATCGGCGGCCATGGTCGTCTTGGTCCTATATCTCACAGGATGCTTAGGGTTGTTGGGGTTTGGATTCCGATTGCGACTATTGTCGTCGAGAGAAAGTCTGCTAGGTGACGGTGAGGGGTTTGGAGCGCTCGCAGAAGAGTAGTATGCCCTTGAGCCGAGGAGAAGAACCGATGTTGCTTGCAGTTTGAGCATACCGCACGAAGGTGAGGCGGTTTGGGGTGAGGGTGTCCCGGGCTCTTATCAGATTCGCAATGCGTCCGTTGAAACCCGGCATTGCCGGGTCGGGTCAACTTTCCTTTTGGTAGGTAGGCACCAGAACCGCGTAATGAAACAAAGAAAGCTTATTAGGTGACGTGGAGGGCGGACTTTACTGTTTCCCAGAAAGGGTCCGAGAGACCGGACTTAAGGGTTCCAAGTTCAGGCAAGGGAGGGAACAATGAGATGGAGGGATGCCATGGTGCATGGTGGGTTTGAGGGTTCCTCCGACTCTGGGCGAATTAACCGAAGCTTCTCCCAGCCAAACCCCACCAACAAAAACTTCAGTGAAGTGTTGGATCTGCGGCTGAAGTGGGAGGTACAAAGTGTAAAGTAGTGTACAAAGTACAAACAAAGTCCAGCCAGCGATCACTCGCCAGGGAATCATGTGGCGTCTGGGGCGGATTTTACTGTGTACACTGTATGTTGTACATCATCAAGGACGCTGTTCCCATCGTCGAAACGACTTGGAGTGGTTCGATGTACGTAATCTCGACCTTGCAGATTTACAGGAGCAAGAGCTACTATGAATTCTCGACGTTCTTTGGTTTTGACCAAATTTTATTAGAACTAAGATTCTCGAAATCTGTTGAAGTCAACTTAACTCGATTCTACACTAGCGCAGAATCCGGCATTGCGCTGAACCTCTTCCCTTAGTTCGGCATCATATCCCCAAAGCCACCAACCTTTTTCGATCTGAGCACGCTCAAGCCACATGGGATCCACATCGCAGGGCCCTGGAGTGTGACCTCAACTGGGTCGTCAAGTCAGACCAGGCCAGGCACCGTGGGCAATCACAAGCAAACCAAAGTTCTTGCGACACAGCACACATCAGCAATTCCCCTCCCATACCAGCGGCTGCCGAGCTCGAGACCAGCCTTTACGAAGTAGCTCTCGACATAATGACATCCTCGTCGACATAGGTCTCGTCGAACAACGAAGCATCTTTTGAGCATTGGATAGCTTGTCTATCAAGCTGTCCAATCGACCCGTTTTGTTGACGGCTTACTCGATTCTCCTCTACCTTTTAATCATTCCGCTATTTAGGAAAACAATTAATTCGCAGTACGGGGTTGTTTGCGTCCGCCGTGCAGCCCCTGGTCCCTTTCAACCCATCAAGCCCGAAAACCTCCCTGTCATGGAAGAGTCTATCGACTCCCTTGTCAAGGGTGCTCCGCAACCCGGCACCGTCAAGTCAGTCGGCGGGACGACACCGATAGGATCCTCTCTAAAGGAGGGCGATCCGTTAAGCCATACCCCGAGCTCGCCGTCCATGATCTACCTCAACCTACTCATCCTCGAAGCGTCATTACGAGCCCAATACCTGGAACTGCGAGCGCGCAGACGACATCATACATTCTTCCTCACCCTCCTCACACTATGGATCGCGGGCTTCGGCTATGGCTTGTTTTTTGCACCTAGGGAGGATGGCGGCCATGGCGGCTCGGTCTACTGGGGAGTCGAAGTAGCGCAAAAGGTCTGCTTCATGGGAGGGGTCATAACAGCCATCCTCGTCTGGGGAACTGGCATCTGGGACCGCGGTATCAGGTGGCCCCGACGGTGGTTCGCCGTTTCGAACCGCGGACTACGTGGCTTTAACTGCAAGCTCGTGCTCTTACGAAGACCGTGGTGGGCCGAACTCGCGTCTTCTATCGGCTTTTTTCTTACGTACGGTTTATTCTCGCATACAGCCAGCTCCTCGTATCGATACGTCGACCCTTCAATCCTCCGCGAGGTAGAGAAGGAGCTCAATATCCACAGTGATACACATACGACTCTGCCAATCCTCGTTGAAGACGAGGAGAAAGGTGGTCACGAGGAGGACCTCGCGCCGGGCGGCGACTACGTCAAGCTCCTCCTCCTACCGAAATACTTTACCGCCAACTTTCGCGAGAATTGGGAGCTGTACCGCACGGAGTACTGGGAGAAGGAGAACGAGCGACGGGCCCTGCTGCGGTCGAAGCTCAAGAGCAAAGGGCGCGAATACGCCCGGAAACGCTGGGGTTTCTTCTGGTGGTTCCCCTGGCACCAGAACGAGATTAATCGCTATCTGTCCCGCGAGAGGATGCGGCCCCCCATGAGGCGTCCGTCTGACGTGCACAGGGCCCGCCGGAATAGCGTGCGCCGCGGGTCGACGAGTTCGTCGAGGAGTCCGACGCCTACGGTTGAGATGGATGAGACTGCCGGGGTCATGAGGAAGGCCAGCTCAGGATCTAGTGCGTCGGAGAAGGCTAGGAAGAGGCTGTCTACGGCGTCGAGGACGCAGAGGAGATCCGAGTCGAGGTCCTTGACGCCGGAGATTCCGTCTCCGCTGGGGAAGGAGAGCCATGTCGAGGGGGAGAAGACGAGCTCACCGAGAGTGCTCAGAAAGTCATCGGGCGCTAGCCTAGGGTCAGCAAGAGAGAAGTAATCGGGTGTGTCGGTCGTGTATGATGTATTCTTAGTCCAAGTACTTCGTTTATGCTATGCTTACCTGTTGAATGCCAGATATTATGGCCCCGTTGCCCACAGCGACAAGATTTGGGGGGCGGAAATCGGCGGTGAAATAACACCTCAATGAAAGCAGATTTTGATTTCGATATCCTACTGGCTCCCTAGCAAGGTCCGTCCATAAGCAGATCGAAGCGAATTGAGGCAAGAGTTTTGATACCCGATCTAGTTTCATTCGACCCGCGTGTATGTGGGGAGCGCCGCAGGCACCCATTTTCTTTTATTTTGCTTTTTCACCCTTACTTCATACGTGGAATCGCCGCCGGGATGCGATTTATGCGAGTTGCCCTTGACTGTAGCCCTCAGCGTTACGGTATCCTCGAGGGAGGTAATGAAGTGGGGTCGATTTCGGTAAAGGTTTGGGAATAAACATGCTCAGATGTCATATTGCCTTCAATCAGACGAGGTAAACCCACTTGTGACATGGATGTCTCGTAGCAAGGGAGACATGCTCATATTAACAGCTTAGGGGTGGGATTCTTAGTCCCCTTTAATACAAACCCTTCTTCCCAAGCAACCGGGGTTGAAAGGGAGGACTCCTCGAAAAAGCAATGCAGGTGTGCTTTCTAAGCTTCCAGTCATCCCTCTCCTCCGAATAGTTGCTACACTGGCAACTATTCACCGGCGATCTGTCATGTAAAATGGAGTCACAGTTACCCAATGTCAAGCGGGTTTGATATCATGCGCTTTCTAGCGACTCTTCTCAAATCGAACTGTGATCTGGATCTGCGATATTAGGAACACAATGGCTGTCGGGCCTAAAAGAAACAATGTCACTTTACATTTGTTAGTCTTACCAAACTCTCACCGAATGAAACATTGAAGTGAAGTTTATAGGGTAGCGATGCGTGTCTCCAGGAAGAATCCAAGATGCTGGGGAGAGCAGTTGCAAGAACAAGTTTTCTCTCACCGTTCCCTTCCTACTTGGCCCTTTCCTCATCAAAGTTCACTACTACAAATAACTGAGACTATAATTTTCCGAAAACCTCTTCGACGTGTGTGTGTGCGTACTGCACAGAAAAGGCATCTTAACGACTTCCCTCGACGGCCCAACAGTCCCCGATCCGGAGATGAGTGCGCTGCCCGACTTCTCTTTGCGTCGGGTCATATTACTCCGTCAGCCGCACGCCGGGTCCACGGCTTTTGCTTATCACCAAAGATAGAAGCTCGTTCCAGCCAGAGCAGGTTCGGTCTCCAAACCGGACGTGTCAAGGCAATACATAATCGAGGTGGTGCTTTGGTCCTCACAGAGTAGCAGCATTAAAGAGCTTGTTTCATTAGCAGATACGAAGTAATTACATGCATTCAGGTAGTGGTTGCAGGACCAAATGACTCTACGGAAGTCTGTGGCTGCATCCGTTCCTGCAGCGCATCTTCCGGGGGCTAGATCGTCGGTCTTCGTGAGGGACAAAAGAGACAAAGAAAAAGTCGACGTAAAAAAACAAAAGAGAGGCGTCCAACACTGCGTCTGGGAAAGCGGCATTATGGGTCGAGCGGATGCGATGTTTTTGCTTCTCCGCTCGCCCGACCTTCCTCTCAGCCTTCTCGCGAGTGGTCTCTTTTCTTCTTCTTTTCTTTTCCCTTTGCGTTTTTCCCCGGGAAAGGAAGGGGAAAAGAAAGTTTTAAAACCAATCGGAAAAGAGCACTAGATGTGATATGGAAGGTATCGAAGGTATCGAAGGTATCGAACCGTCTTGGTCGAACACCTCTCCCCACGTCGTACTTCGAAGAAGCCTGAGACAAGAATGGGTGGCGAGGCCAAGACGTCCAACGGTCAGTCATGCGTCCCTTGAGAAATGGTTATCTAGGGAGCGAGGAACAATGATCGTCTCTTATCTCCACTCCTTCACAGATACTGTGGTCGGACATTTCATTTTATCCTGGGGTGAGAGAGAGTTGCAGTTCTGACATGACAGGTACGATATATTACTTCGATGCCGCACGCATACTGCACGCATGGATCAATATCAAAATCCGTGCCAATTTCGATGACATCAGATCTGTACGAAGTAGTACGGTCTGTTGGCAGCATCTCCGGTCTTCACACATCCTTTGCACTGGAAGGATGCTGTCCTGCGGTGAGTGCAGTGCAGTGGTGTCGACCCATGATCCTGGCTCACCCGTCTTCTTCCCCTCCTCTAGAACAACACACTTTCGTACACTTGCAGATAATTTTCATTTTAATTCCTATCCTGTGCCCATTGCTCGAGCACAAGTCGGTTTCATATTCTATCATGTTAAAGGCATTATACATAGTAGCATCATGAGGGGCAGAGATGCAGTAGTGTGCGAGGGCATTGTCCATGCGCCCAGAGTCTCTCTCCCCGAGTCATGGACTCTGGGCACTAACCTGCCCTTCGCTCTTCTTATCTTTGCCATCAACAGAGCAACAACCTTGGTAAAAGCTCCCGCCGAGCAGTGGATTACGAAGTATTACGCAACTAACTACTTCGTACTGTCTCCGAGTTCAGCTGAAAACGGTCGGCGCCACTGATCTCCCAAGGCCCACGGTCCATGGCACGGGGTTCCCTGGTGGATAGGGATTTGGCTAAGGAAGATGGGAGGTCCCTGGCCAGCTGATGCTTGATTCCTCTGTGGTAATGTAAACTGCTGTGTACTCAGTAATGAGGACGCACTACGAAGTACATACCCTACACTACGAAGTAAGCCTGTGCTGGCTTGTCGGTCCAAGCCAAGCATTGGAACGGGCTTAGGGAGTCACGCACTGGGTTTAGTGTGGCGTTTCCTCAACCAGGATAGCCTGGATAAAATGTTTCTGAGCGGGTCTAGGTTGGTTGAGCTTGTCAGTCTCGAGTCTTGGGCTCTTCTTGGCCCGAGGAGTTTCCTTTCGTCCTGCTCCTCCTGCACGTCTCGATTCCTTGTGCGACTGGAACATCAATGACACTGCGGAGTATTGCTTCGTATGACACAAGGGCGTGCTCGGTCAAGAACATCAATAAGACTTCAGGCAACAGTTCTCTTGTTCTATTGAATTTCACCGCCCCCGAGCAAGATCATTGGCTCGAATGTTCCACAGCACCGCAGATTTATTGAGGCCCATTCAGGCTGCCCGTCCCTGGATCAGTGCGCTGGCGAGCCGGTGCCCTTTCTCGATCCAAAGCCGACGAAGAATTAAGTGTATCCTTCGTTCGTAATGTGCACTAAAGCCATCGCCCGCTTGCCCCCGTCCGTGACGATCTACCCGCCGGGCTTGGGCTTGGGCTTGGACCAAACTTAGCTAGCCGGGGCACGGACAGATCAAAATTGATCCATCTAAACTACTTGGATGGATCCATCAATAGCGCATCTTGGAATGCATGCTTCGTACATACAGCCGCCATTTGGCTGGCTGTAGACTGGAGTCTAATATTAACTTCCAGGTTCCACTTTCAAAGCGTTGATCTGAAGTTATTCTGCTGGTCATGGGAGACCCTGGTTTGCCTCTACCAAATCTCTTTGGGCCTAATAGTTTGGTATAATCCGGCTTGTCTGCCTCGACATCCTCCACCGAGGGCTTGTATGTAGTGTAAACTACGAAGCAATACTACGCTGCATTCGCACTTCTCTTACTTCGTGCGCATGTCACGATGTGTCCCAACGTATCGCACCAAGCCCAACTGAGGCCGAGTCTGCTTCGTACGACACATGGACAATGCCTCATCGGGAATGGTTTCTCCACACCACCAACTCAAGGACGAAGTATGGAGCATGTAAATTGCAAAGTACGTCGTGGCCAGACTGGGGTCAGATCAATCCCTAATACACTACGCTACGACTTTATAGGTTTCCGAGCCACTGTCGGACTTCGTCCGTCGAGTACGCCTGCAGTACATCCCGAACTCTGGTCTAGAAAGCAACCGTCCACCCATCTCATCTCTGTGCTCGCGTACATGCCAAGTAACCAACTTCCTTGGCACCGAACTCTGTAGCCGGCGCTCTGGAACGGCCTCCCCTGCCCTTCCGGACCTCTCTTCATGTTTTAAAGTTGTATTCGTACCCGCTAGCCATGAGAGGGGAACATCCTTGGAATCCAAATGCTGGCGCAAAACATCAAAAAGGGGTGGGTGTCATGATCCTCGGCGCCCAATAATATCGGTGTCTATAAACCCCGTCCGTTCCACAGCTGCCTCCTTGGTCCTGGGACAACCGTGGCGAAGATATCGCCATCGACCGACCTCATCCGCCCGCACCTTGCACCTTTTCTGGCTTAGCCCAAGTCGAGGGCACGGAAGGAAGGAAAGGAGAAAGAAGAGAGCCACCCCGCTCTTCCATACTTCGTCCTCATACTTTTCCCGTTGTGATCGGGCACCCTCTGATTCACACGCCGTCAAAGCCATAAACAGCTCTCTGACCCGGCGGCGAAATTCCGTAGCAAACGCTCGTCCTCGGCCGCGCCGTGCCTCTATCGCAGGTATTACCTCTTTGGAGACTGGTAGGTCCTCTTTCGCAAAAACGCCTTCGCCTTCGTAAGGGAATAGTCAGCTCACCATCTCGTAGCTCCATAGCGTTATACATCCGCTCTATTCTCCTCCTCCTCCTCCTCCTCCCCCCCCCCCCCCCCCCCCCCCCCCCCCCTTCTTTTTAATGCGTTCCAGCATTCCTTCCCTTTCCCCTTGCATGGAATCGTATCCACACGCCCGCGTGGCACCGGTTGCAGTCGAGGCATGCTAATGCGAATTACATTCCGCCTTGCCGTTTCTCCTCCCTCTTTTGCATGATTCCTTTCTCTTCATATATCCTCTTTCTTATACCCGGCAGCGAAACTCGACAGGTCAAGCTCTGAGGCCTTGCTTTCTTTTTCTCTTCTTTCTTTTCTTTTCTTCTATACTTTATACATTCCTTGGGGCATACGGTACATTCCTTTGATGCAAGAACTTTCGGTTCGGTATAGGTGGGATTCGTAACAAGGAACGGAAGATTCTTCATCGCCTTTGCTATACTCTTTCACCATGCCCACCGTCGCCACTCCCATAACCCCTCCCTACGACGACTACGGCCGCCGTCGAAGTTCCGCCGCTCTGCCAACACCAGAGAACTTCGACGTCACGACGACATCCAAGCCAAGGCCACCCATCATTCTCTCACCTCCGCCAACCCCCAAGGCCGCCTCTATTCGGAAGAACAACGCGGCCAGACTATCCCAGCGTCTGCGTAGCAATTCCGGCCTCTCGCACCACACCAACGAGGATGCTCTCCGGCAGTATACGGATTACAACCCCGATGGTTCTCCGAGGTCTCCGAGGTCCCCGTTATTTGCGCCGGTGAACTGGCAAGGGGGAAGCAGTGGAGAAAAGTTGTCTAGGAAAGGGTATCGGCGGAGTTTGCTGGCCGACTATGGAGCGCCGGAGTCGGCGCTGCCTATCCCGGATTATTTTGGCCAGGAGGTGTTTCATATGGTCATGAACAATCCGTCTGCTGCTCATCGGTTATTGAAGTATGCCCAGATGAAAGGATGCGGCGAGAACATGGGCTATCTTCTGAAGGTAAGTTGTAAATATTAGGTTCAGATGGTGATTCCGCCATGTGGTAGATGTCATGATGCCGACCGTTCCACCTTAGATCCTCCATATATCACATATCATTCTGGCATTTTAGCTAATAATTTACTAGGTGCAAGAGTACTCCAGATCCGTCGACCAACTAACAACCCTCCTCGCAACCATCTCCACCAACTTCACCATGGTCTCCGCCGCCTCCCCCATCCACCTTCCAGGCCCCCTCTCCAAATCCCTCAACACCGACATCAAGCACGTAACGGGGTCAATCCTCCCGGGCCTCGAGAACCTCTTCCTCGAGTCCAAGACCTGCATCGAGCAGCGTCTCGTCCGCGACGTCTACCCTTCCTTCGTCAAGCATCAACTCTCGCTCGCCACCTCTCGGGCCCTAGTGTCCGATAAATGTCTCCGTGAGGCCGAGTTTCCCGGATTAGGAGGCGCTTTCTGCATCACGGATGTGGCTCTCGAAGGAGCCCCCATCGAGTTCGTGTCGGACGAGTTTCTCAGGTTGACTGGTAGGAGGAGGGAGCAGGTTCTCCACCGAAACACTAGCTTCTTACAGGGCCCGCTCACGGATCTGGCCGGTGTGTTCAGGATCCGGGAGGTTCTGTCCAGGGACGAGGAGTGCATCGAACTCCTAATTAATCATCTAGACGATGGGACACCGTTCTGGAACTTTAGTTACATTTGCCCTATCCCAGCTCCTGGGGGCAAGGTGAGGTACTACTTGCACGGCTACATCAATGTATCGAACTGTATCCGAAACTCCGACGACATCATTCAAATTATCAACTCGAACCCCGTGCCCTCGGACACTGCCTCTGAGAGGTCGGTCGAGAGGAGAGGGCCGTATGACCGCCGTGGTAGCACATCTCAGGAATCCGACTACGAGGGCGCACGCGGCAGAGGCGAGAACGTTTCACGGAGCAAGTCTACTCGCAAGCCTTTCTTCCGATCCTTCCGCAAAAACTCCGAGACGTCCACATCCTCACAACAAACGCAAAACCAGCAGCTGCAACGCCCCGACACGGCCTACTCCACCATAAATGGCAACCAGGTCGATGGCGCCCTTCCACCCTTGACGGAGAACCTCGTCTCAGACCCCCCTCGAGGACTACCTTCCACTCCTTACAGCCGCTTCATCCTCCTAAAGAACACCCCCGGCTTCACGTCCCCCAAGCTCGCCATCACATTCGCAACTCAAGCCGCTCTCGACCTCCTTAACCTCGGACTCGCCGCCGAGGCCATCCACAACAAGGATATCTTCACGGTGCTCGCCGAGCAGGCGAACTGCGTGTCCATCACCAAGGCGTTCAGGACATCTGTGCGCGAGACCGTCCTCCTTGATGGAAGGCAGGCCGTGGCGGATATAAGAGTCGCCGCCCCTGCTGCACCGCGGAAAGGCAACTTGATGGGCGGTTTGGGATGGGGTAGTGAGGATCAGGGGAGCGTGGCTGGGGCTAGGAGGACGGTTCTCAGTACCTTCTGGACGCCGCTGAAGGATGGGGAGGGGAAGCCTGCTTGGGTCATGCTGGTTTTGCTTCCGTCGCTTTGAAGATGGAGTTTTAGAGGGCTTTTTTTTTTTTTTTTTTTTTTTTTTTTTTTTTCTTCTTTTTTTATCTTTTTTGAACAGCGCAAGAAAAGAAAGGTGTCAGGTAGATTTATAGTTTTTGTTTCTCTTTCTTGAAAGGTTTGGTAGGATCTATCTAGTGGAGGATGGATCTTGGTCCTTTTTTTGGCATGGGGTCGGCGATTTTCCTTTTGTATAATACCAGATGGCAGTCCAGCCAGTTTTCTTTCTTTTGTCACTAGCAGAATTTGATACCAAGGTATTTTCTACAGATATATATAGTTAAAATAGTCATTACCATAAATAATCCGCTGTCCCCAGTCCTTCGAAGTCAGCTAAGTCTACCTTCCATCGGCGGTATACATTATGTTCGACTCCGTACGTTTTCATTTTCTCTCCTGTATGCTCTGAAATGAAAGAGAGGGTCGGAAATAGGAAGCCCTCGATGGTAATCGCCCCTTCTTTTTCTTCTCTTAAGCTTTCCCCGTGTAGAAACGGCAATTGTGGGCAATTATAGGAGTGGTGGTTGAGAAAGCACCGAAACAGATAGAGACCGTAGAAGCAAGGTTAATCAATGAATTTCAAGGTTTGGATGCCCTGGACTATTGTAGATTGCATCCTGAGGTATTGGGAGTTATCTCTCCATCCCGATGAGGGGCGGCCTTCGGGCAGACACTTGGGGTGTGTTTGTGAGCGATGGTCTGGTAACCATGGGTTGAACTCGTGGTCACATTGTAGGCTCACATAACCGCGGCTTGGCCTCCATCTGGCGAGAGAAACGGAAGCCTCACCCTCAGAGAATCAAGCAATTAAAAAGAGCCAGGTGAGATATCTTCCCTCACGGTAACCCCCACCGAGATGAACTCGTTTTCAAGAGAGCCTACCCCTTGCCAGATCACGGACATTTTCGGCAGGTCAGGGGCTTTTTATAATCTTGCCTTGCAGAAGGCCGCAAGTCCTCGGTCATGAGAATGGAAGGTGCCACACTCTGCATCCTCCATGGCTGATTAATATGAGCCCTGGTCACATCGTGTCGGTTCAGCTCGAGAATCCGTGCGGTCCGGGGGTGGAACCACAGAATTACTCGCAACCTTTTTGCCTTTTTCGGATGAGAAGGATGGTCAGCACATGTATAAAAGTCAGAAGGCGGCCAGTGCGTGCGCCGCGAACATGCCCGCCTCGAATACGTACCAAAGGTTCATTGAAGGCTGGTTCTTGAGACCAGCTGCGGTTTGTTTTGGGGTTGGGGGGGGGGGGGGGGGGGAGGGGGCCGATTTAAAGTTACGTGAGGCAAGGGGTATGATGGGCATGCAGGTGCACACGATGATTACTACGGAGGCTACATGATGTAGGTACAATAGGAATAATGACAGCGAGTCTGATGCCAGGACTCGTTGGTGTGGCCTTCAGTAACGATGATTGGACGCAAGCCGGCGTGGGCTAGCATCTACCTATATCAATATCAATAGGGTCGTTAGATGTCTAGTTGGCGTAAGCTATTTCACGGATATCATGATTCTTCGGATACCTTTCGGACCCTTCGATCGACTCGACTTCACTCACGAAGCCCATACACTCCCATGTGGCTTGGACCGCCCGCCTCATGCTTGATACTCCCAACCCACCATGAGAGACATCAAGTTAGAACACTCAAAGCATCCTCCGTCGTAGTGGGATAGATCTCCATTCTTAGAATTACCACGACGCGCACCTACACTTCAGAAACAGACCCTTGTCTTTTAACACACGGCCGCGGGTGTGGCAAACTGAAGTGGCAGACATGCAAGCCGCCTGGTGTCACCGGTGGCCTCAGGGGGATTGGGACGGGAGGCATCCGGATGTGTAAAACGACGGGGCAAAGGGGGGGGTAAGGGTAACGCTGTGGCTTATCTTTATTGAGCTGAGGCTAAGGGAGGACATACCTACATCAAACATATCAGAATCGATGACAGCTGTCTACCCGCCGCAAGGAAATAGAGAGTTGGAGTCGGAGACTTTGTCCCAGGCTTTTCCACAACGGCGCAAACGGAGGAGGTGGCCATAAGACTACGGACTTCAGTCGCCTCAACGAAAGCGGGCTGATGCAGATTCTCGATGGCTGCGAGGACACTGCGGTTTCCAATCTAATCAGTCAATGCACAGACAACGGATAGCTTGTACAAACACAAATTTTTTGGAGGCCATACCCAGTGGCAGGACCGGTATCTAAGATGGGTTTCTTGCCGTTGCATGGCGATGTTCTCCGCAGATGGCCGAGGCCGACGACACGGAGATTCCCGGCGCCAAGTCCGGAACAAGAACCGGAGAGCCCAAATCGAACTAGAGCTAGAATAGCGAGAGAGCAGCAAACTGGGTATTGCAGGAATGGAGGACGTGGGCTAGCAGCAGACGTTGTTGGGGGATGATCTGGTCTCGATTCCCAATTGCAAATTTACGGAATCTACACCATCTGTCTTGGCTAGATGCGTTATTGGTTTCCTCGAAACTTACAAAGTTCGACGAGAACTCCGAGCGGGGTTCATCTGCGTTGTTGGCGAGTCGGATGTCGATGGCCCCACCCCGAAACGTTGAGAGCACGCGCTGTTGCGATTTCTGTTCGCCTTAAAATCGAACTCATGCAATGACTAGTCTTATATAGCCCGAGTTAGATGGGATCGGGCGTCATATCGTCCAAGGCTGGACCGATATGTCTTCATCTTCTCATGATCTGCGCTCTGTCGACGCTGTAACTTCCCGTAATCCACCGAGGACGGAATCCTTGGAGCTTCTCCCGTTAGGCCTCACGCACAAGTATTTCCTGGTTTTATTGCTGTAGTGTGTAACCAAGGAGGATGTCTCAAGTCCCCCGCAGTGACTCGAAACAGTAGTGGCTGGTGCTTGTCCTGTTGTCTGTTCTGTTGTGTAACCAACCTAATAAAGTGCCTCAACATTGGACTGCACATTACGCATTAGTGAACAGGTTGATGAGGGCGACGGCTGCCCGATCGGAATCACAACAAGCATCGAACACGCGTCACAATCTTCATTTTCGAAATCTCTAGGCATGGCAGTCGTGGATTATACTTTCGCAAATCGGCAAGCGTTCCTGCTCGTCCACTCTTCTGAATGGTATGATCCGGCGATTGCTTTGTTCGGCGAAGTATGGGCCAAGATCAAGGGCTGGCTTTCTGAGCCAGGTACGTGTTCATTTCAGGGAGAACAAACGGAAAGGCTCCAGTGATTCGATCTTTGCATGGAGACGGCTAACACCCAGTGGCATAGATATTAAGACAGCTGCCATTGCATGGCTTGTTACATTTATCGTGCTGTGTATACTGATCCTTGGAGTAGGATTCGGACGAGGGGGTATCATAGGAGGTGAGGATTCCACGCTCGCTCTCTCCTCTCTCCTCTCTTCTCTCTTCCCTTTCCTCTCCCCCCTCCTTTTTTTTTATTATTATTTTTTATTATTTTTTTTCCGAGTATCGCGCTAACCAAGGTGCAAAGGCTCCATTGCGGCTTTATTCCAATCCTATATGTATGGGGCATTCACACCTGCGGGAGGAATCTTTGCTACCTTAACAAGCATGGCCGTGTTGGGCAGGTTCTGGCCCGCCGGTTTGCTTATCGCTGTCCTCTTAGCGACAGCAATAGCACTGATTGTTTGGTATCTGGTGCCCGGCAGCGGCGGAGGCGGGCCGGGCGACCTTGCACGCGTCCGCGTGGACTTGCCGGGAATGGACCTATGATTAATTTTCTATTGATCTGAATCGTGGGGTTGAACGACAAGATGGATGCAAACTGTTCGAAATTTGCGCAGAAGCAGTGGGGGGATGGGGGATGAGATGAGCGAGGAAAGCCGGGCAAAAAGGCCCAGCTCGTCTTCTAGAAAGAACATTTTCTATGGGAGAAGTGGTGGTGAAGCATCAAATCTCCGGTGCCCTTGCCAAGTTGAAACAACCTAAAGCCTGAGGCAACGTTTTGAAGGATGAAGATGGAATATATTCTCCCCTGTTCCTTGCTCATTTACGATTCGCATCACCGACAAGGCTTTGCGCTTCCAATGGCCTCGCACCTGTTGTCGCCCCGTTGCCACCCACGCTCCTCCCTGCACAAATGTGCAAACCAAGACCGACGCCTCCACACAAGCGAGGCAGCACGTGCAGGGGACCAGGTTTTCACCGACTAACACCGAGATCGGGAGTAGAGCCTGCTTGCGGTTCAAGCTCTCGATATGATTCTTGCTTTGTAGACATGTTCCTTGCGATATGGATATCTACCTCCAGGCTCGGACCAAGATCTCCGAAGTGCAGTGCCGGCCCGTGGACATACACTGAATGTGACTTTGACTTGCGAGCCCTGCAGGTGGATTTGCCATTGCACCATCTGATGCCCAACTATTAACTGCCGCCCCTCGGCTTGGGCATCGCACAGCTAGACACTTATGGTAAAAACCTTGGGAGAAATGCCATGCTGCTAGTTTGGGCTTTGGCTTGTTTTTCGTCTAACTTCGATTTCCTTCCTCTTTCTTTAACCCCCTCTTCTCTTTAGCCTCTGTTGCGAAGAAAGAAACCTAAAACAGGAAAATCGACATCAATATGTTGCTCGTGCAGGCATCGTCTCCAAAGCCTTGCAGTAGATCGGCCCGGGGCATTGTGAGTTGCATCCGATGTCTGAAGATTTGTTTCCACTATCACACCGGCCTGGCACCAGGCTGCCGGGAAACAAGCGGTGATGCGCATAGTGTCCGAGTAGGATCTCCTCGAACGGTCAAAGCACTCGATACTTGGGACATCTCAAAGCCTAGCCCTGAGGCCAGATAGGATAGTCGGAGACGGTTGGCCGCAGGACTCATGATTTGACCGGTTTCATAGGTGTAGTCGTACAAAAGTATTGGGACGGTGATGGGTGGCCATTAATGAGGATCATTGATTGAGCGAGAAGAACGAGGCAATGAGACTCGCGGTTCAAGTTGTCCTCTCGTCTACGAAGATAATGTGCTTGTT